GAAAATATAAATTGTAAATTTAGAATGTTATGTATATTGTAAAGTTTGTGTAAATCAATACAGGATAAATTTGGAGATTTATAAACTTTATAGCGTTAGTGCTTATTTATTTTAAAATTTATACTGACACAACATGATACTGTGAAATGTATATAAACAACGAGTATTGATTGTTTTTCATGAAGAAAAATTTTATTTCTTATTACTTCTAATGTTGAGATTGTTGATCTTTGAATATTTTAGAAAAGAATGTTTTTCTAAATACTAATTGTCGAATTTTTATGAATTTCGCTATTTTCTGCTCAAAAAGTGGACTGTCATTTTAAAAAATTAATCAAAATATTTGTTATTATCCTTACATGTTTGATTAAAACAGATTATTGATAAACGCATGATTATTCGGATAGGTTTGATTTGTCCCGTTTTTGTTACAATTAAGGACTGGAATTCGATCAATCTTTGTAGGTATAAGTAAATCCGGATTGAATTATTGTTGTATAGTACTGGAGGCGAATACGATTGGTCACCGAGTGTCACAAAATAGGAACTCAGTTTATCAACCATTCCAAATGTGATTTCTTTTTCTTTATTAATTTTTAATCCAGACTCACTGAGTGTGACGTTTTGTGATCGTGTGTGGCATTAATCTGACTCTTTATTTTTGGCGTAACATGATCTAGTCTCTGTGCAGTGGATCATCCGAGTGTTAAATCCAGCGCTCACCTTTCTCATTATCTCAGTATAGCCATATCTTGTACAAGTGAGAAAAATATTTTAATCCATCCATTATATCAATAATCTCAATAGAAAATCTGTGATGCAAGCTATATAAAAACAGAAGGATTATAGCTAGCAGTGTTATTCAGGACTCGTGTTTTGTCCTGTCTTATTAGCTAGACATATCTCTATGCCAGTATTAGTGTTTAATTGAAACTCGAACCCAGCATCTTTCAACTCAGATGCTAACGTGCCATCCACCTAACTACCATGAGTTCAAATAGTCACTAACTTGTTCAGTTCATTTGGTATATCAATGTTTGTTAGACGTTAGTCTAATAGGTCATTTATAAACTCATGAAACTAAGACGTGTTCATTAAGTTTACGTATATACAATCCACTGCTACTACATGTAGTGTAATTGATATATTTTCGTTTTAAAATTGATTGCCTAATTATTCATTCTTATGGTATTCTTACTCCATATATTACCAAACAGTTTATCGTTGTAAAGAGCTTGAATGATTACAAGTATTTTACTGCTTCATTTGTTTTACTGAACTGATTCATGAATTTTTGACAAAAACGTTCCAATATGGTATAAAATTGATTATCCTTTTCGTCAGCATTCCGTGAAAGAGTCATATCTAACACTTCTAAGCAGTTTTTTCGTTTACTTATTTAAGTGAGTGTTGTATTTAAAAGTATGGTTTCCTCTAGGAGTTTCATTACAATCATCTAAAGCTATATTCTATAAGCATATAACTGTAGCGCATCCCAACTTACCAAATGAAAAACAGTAAATGATCTCAAACAAATAATTTGTTGTGAAGTCTCTAGTGAGAATTATGCTCTTATATGCAGCATGCACTTATTACATGAATGGAAAATTATCTGGAAATCCTTGGTACAACGCATATATTGAACATTCAGTAACAGATGCGCTACATATTCACAGACACGTAGCTTATCTCTTAACTGTCCCATTTTTTTAGTGCGGAATTCGCTCTTCACGAATCAAACCTAATAATACAATACAATAATTTATTGTTATTATTTCATTAAAATCGACACAATATTTTCAGTTGTAAAGCGTTGTATCAATTATTTTTTAATATAAACAAACTGTCTTCTCTCCAGTCAGTAAGTAAATCATAAGAAATAACACTCCAAATAGTAACTAACTGGAATTAAATGTATTCGAAAACGCAATGAGACAATTTAATTAAATAAGAAATTATTTACTGATGAAATCATCCCATGATGTGATGACTTCCTGTGGCTATTTCAAGAAAGAAAGATATTTTCGATGCATCTAATCCAGTCTTTTTATTAAAAGTTATTTCTTTATGAAGTTGGTCAATGCGTGTCATAGGTGTAAAACAATATGTGGCTTATTTTTCACAAACCATTTATTTGTTTATTGTCGAATTAATTTGTATCTGTTTATACAAATGCCATGAGAGTTGTATAGCTAAAAGCCACTTGTCGTCTGTGGGCAATAAGTTGTTAAACTGTTTTACAATTTTTGTTTAAAATGAAACATGTAATGATTAAATTTTTAAACTGATTGATAATATTTAATCATCATATATTCAATAAAAAGATAATAAGTACATGTTGAATAATGAATTAAAGCTGATTTCGATGAATTTGGAATTCCTGTTATATGAATTAAGAGTAAAATTCTAAACAAATGGAAACCAGAAATAATTCATTAACACTGTTTTTTATCACAATTTTGAATGGTATCAGTTATTTTTATTTGATAATAATATCCACTAGCTCAAAGTCCATTGAATTTTACATATTCAACATAAATCACAATTTAATAAACACTTGTTTCATTCTCATTTCAATACACATTAACAGCGTATATTTCCTCTTGCTGTTCCAACAACAAACACAACTGCATTGTATATGTTAGTAAGAAAGTAATCAAGTTCATAACTTTACTCTATAAAACTGTAGGCTGAATACTTTTCAATGTTTGATATTGTTATGTGCACTTTATTCTCATCACTTGTCAATTAAATGACTCACTGATTCACATGTTAAAAATTTTTTTTGCTAAACTATAATTATGCTATTCTGTATAGCATACATATGAAAACACATCTATACTGGGTATTTGAATACCCAATCTTATCAGTTGGTTTAGATAATTTTATTTTGTACTCTATATGTAGTCTGAATATTGGTCTCGTTACATGCTGAAACTATTTAGAAAACCATTCAGGTTTAAATCATCGTAACTTGGTTTCATCCTTAAACATTATTCAAGTGCTTAGTGAAACAAAAGTGAAAATTGCGCAAATTAGTATTAATTAAATGAATCTTGTTCTTTTTTTCATTGTTAATTTGTAGTGGATACAAGTATAGGTGACTTGAAATCGCTTATACTTTATTGAAATTTCACGTGGTTGGAGTTAGTCGATAGGAAACTTTGAATATAGTTTTCGTATCCGCTTGTATTCATCCTTAAGATGTGCTTACAATATTTAGGGAACTGATAATCTCTATACCACCCACTTCCACTGTGTAAGATATTGCTAGTAAGCAATTCATGTAGAAACCGACCTACTTTAGGACTGAGAAAGTTACTGATCACTAAGTAGCGACTAATGTCATGTTTCTTTGGTACTTAGTGCTGATTGGATTCTGTCAACCAAGATTGAACTTATGACTTGCTGACAAGTACTAACTAGCAAAAAACTACGGTTCAAGGTTTTCTGCTGACTGTCAGAGAACACCTAAAATAATTATAGATACGTGTATTATACCTTATAAGTGATACCCAAAGACTATTTATTATCGCTTACCTTTTCACCTAGGTCATGTATGTATGTGAATATGTTAGTTTATTTTAAATAACAATCATAATTTAATAGGGTATATCTCTTTAATTTCATTTTATTAGAATTAGTCAACTAGTTCTTCATTTATACGTAGGAGTTATATCTACGTACTCAAATTTGCCTATATCCTCTACGTATTATGATCTAACCATTTGACTTGTATAATAACATATACCTAAGTAACGTGCAATATAAATCGGTGCAGTTGCTAATGATCGTTCTCCATCGAAAATCGACTTAATTCGAAAAGGTGAACTTTCGAAATCTAGTTAAACTTTCTAGACCCGAATTTCCAGAAATCGTATAGATTGGAACCAGAAATTGTGGAACAAAACAGCCGTTCATTGGTCCTCTTTAAGAACCTATGAGTCTTGGAAAGCCTTTTCAGCATAGTTTGCAACTATTCATCAGCATAAACTCATGGCTCAATCAGATAAGAGACTCACAACCTACAGTTATTGAGGCGAGCACCTAACCATTATTCCACTGGGTCGGGGTCCAGTGCTGCAGTTTCAACTTCTGTCAATTTGCATTACAGCTCGACGACTATCCAATGCCATTGACGATATCTGTGCCACCTTCATAATATCTGGATTCTGTCAGTTGCAAATATTCATCGGAACTTCAAAAACATATGGAAGAAAGTTAAAGCACTTCATTGTTTTTTTACTTTTCAATGGTAATCCGATAGTCATCGATCTGTGGCGAATATAACCTAAAAATTTAACCAAACTCAACCAGATTACTTTGATCAAATTATATCGATTGGTTTTTAAAATTTGATAACAATAATAATAACATGAGATATTGTTTATTTCATGAATATCTATCTGTGTAGCACTTTTTGCGTTAACGTGTGTACAGGTATCGATCGTTCAACTAATTCATTCATAGAATCACTTCAAAATATATGTGTTCCAATAGGGGATAGATAGTTTATGATTATGCTTGTCTCCTTTTAAAACCGTAATATTTATGATAGATATTAAATCGTGAGTCAGTTGGTTTTGACAAATGAGTATTATTCAAATTTTGCTTAGCTGATTTCAGAAGCCTAACGATAACGTGTTTGAATGTGACTACTTATAAGTAATTCAGATATAAATTCAGTTCTTTCAATAATTTATACTGTCCACTCAGTCTTCTAATCGATATTAACTTAAACTCAAGAACAATACCATATAATCTGTATTTTTATCAATCTCGAACCAAAAAATTTTCATTTCTTCCCTTTTAACTCATATATTTTAGGCATATTTTGTTTGAATAACACGTTAGGGAATACATCTTACAGTATGACAGATGATCGGATCCAATAGAAAGCGTCGGTGCGAGTTCATGTATAATAAAGTTGTTTTAATTTCTAAATAACATTTAATAAACATTGTTTCATTGTGTCCTTTCATCTATTTACTTACATATAGAGTAGAACAGTGGAGAAGTTTATTTCAAATTTAAATCAAACATTAGATTGTTTGGTTCAAAATAACAATATTACTACTAATCCGCCTGTGAGTAATATTAGTTTCCAGTTACATCATTCGCAAGTCTCGTTTAAGCAGTTGTTGATGGAATTAGTCATTGTTTTACAATGTAAACAATTTAGCAGAGATTTTGTTAAATATGAAGGACATTGTAAACTTTTCCAGCTCGTCGAATACATTGAGTAAGTTTCATATATATACATATATATGCATATATTGATTATTGAAATTGTGTTGTTTTTCTTTTCAGCCTTTTCTCATTTTGTAAGTTAAGAAGGGTGTAGCCATGCTTTTCTTGCGACGTCTTTGATTCAAAATAGATCTGGACGTTTTTAACTACTCTTTAACTTATAAGTAGATGATATCGTTTATTATATTTACTTCGAAGAAAATGTCGTAAGTGAAAATTTGTTCACATAATTACACTTTCAGAATCGTTTTCGAGTTATGTTGTATTATTTGGAAGCATTCTCTTCTCCAAAGATGAAATGAACATATTTAATGCACTTTATTCACTTATTCTTATATCTTATCATAGAATTCTGTATTTCTACTTATTTTCTATTCTAGCGCTTCCTTTACTTTTTTAACCAAGGCTACTTTAAGTTCTTCTGTTTAGACCTGTTTCTGATATTTGACAAGCAAAAACAGTGTACATTTCGGTTTAAGCAATGGTTTCTTCATATTTAATTGATCCCAAGTTTTAATTTACTGATTCATTTAAATCGACATATCAATCAATAAAAAGATTTTACTTTAACTGGAATTAATCAAGACCACAGAAATATGGTAGCAATAATTTCCCCTTGGTTCTTTATATAAATCCTGATTATCAGTTTTGGATTACTCACGACGCATGTGTGCAGTGTTTCCATCTTTGAGTCATTTTTCTGTTTTTATGAAAATGATGATTACCTACGTAGAAAGCTGAAAAAATTATGAAAAATACACTGTTTATTTTGTGTTCAATGAGAACTTTTCAGTAAGTCTTTGAAAAGGATAAGGATACTTCATATCCTCCGCTGATGATTCTTAGTTTCGTAAATGATTTTTTTATTATATCCAAAAGCTTCAAAAATATCAAGTCTACATGTAATCCTATATATATCCCTGTTTTCCGTATTCGAACTTTAAAATTAAATCAACTTAGGTGGCCGGTGTCTCACTAGTTTTGTGGCGTTCGGTATTCCATATATTCTTAGACCTTCGTATACCGCTCGTCCTGACAACCGTTACCAGATGACGCCCAACAGTGTATATATCAAAAGATGAATACGAATCGTTGAATGCGTTTATTGTTGCGCCACAAACATACCATCAAAATCACAGGCACACGAAGCAAAACGATATGCCAGTGCCGAGCTAATTAGCGGATAAATGAAATGGATAAAAATGTACATGCTTATACATAGGAAAATGAATGAGTCATCGAATTATGTAAGATACTAAATATTAAAGCGAATACAATGAAATGCACTTTGGTGGTAAGCACTGTTCAAAATAATACCTGCTCATACAAATGTGACAGTAATATAGGCCACAAATAGCACAAATAATTTGCTGCAATACGGATGACTCAGTCTGTTGAATAATAAGTTAATCAAAAGGGCTTAACCAAATTAAATATGAACAAACTCAAATGTTTCTGAGCTTACTACTATACAGCTTTCGATACATCCTTTCATTTGCTTTGTATCAGGATCTCTAGTCTGAGAGATTCCTGAAGGGTCGGAAGGTGGTTAGAAAGTCAATGTCATGCATTCCAATAACACACGTACCAACACCGTAAATGGGGAAAACATTAATTAATCATTATGATTACAATTTAATTTTGTCATTGTATTGTTAAGACCGTATTACCATGCCTATCTATTATCCTAACTAGAAAATGGATGTGTTGCATAAAATAAAAGCTATTTTCGTCGATAGTGTTATATAGTTATGATTATCTGACATATCAGATATTACCCAAGCATTATTATTGCTTTTATGCTTACGAGATTTGTACTTATGACATGAATTTCAACATAATATTCTTCATTGTGTTTTGATATTCTTTCTCCTAAACAGTAAACTGGATAAAAAATTTCATGATGAAATTTGGTCATACCTTTTATCCTGTCTAGTTGAATTATCAAATTACGCTATAACCAATCGATTTATCAATAATGAGACTTTTCATCATGAAGATTATGTAATGCTGCAAGAGAATAATCGTGATGATAAAAAATATCTCCCTGAAGAAATGATTATTCAACACGATGAAAATATTAATCAAATTCAATGCTCGCCAACAATTCAACCAATAAGAAGTATTTATGGTATAGAAGAATTTTTCAGTTGGCAATTAGTATCCGATGAATTTCTATCTGTGGTTCGTTTGAAATTCATTTCTACTTGTTTTGTTTTTGTTGAAGTTATTGATTTGTGTGTGTGGTCATAATATTTTCTCCGAATAAGAAGGGCATTATTTTAACTTGAATATACGTATCATGATCATTCAACTGAGCTTTATACTCGTTGAAATGTTTGTATCTTAGGGTTGTACAATGTCAAATGTGTCCGTTGGACAACAGTAAAACCAAAATAACTACCAGTTAATTTTGAAAGCAATGTAATATTGTTGATTAAATTGAGATGTACCAGAATTAACAGTTCTATCTATTATCTCTAGCGATGCTACTATTCCATGAACGAAGAAAATCATTACTGTAGGGAATCAGCTGTTTACTGATCTTTGACAGCACTCAGTATAATCTAATTCATCAATAGCCTACATTCCCTCATGTATTGTTTGAAGTGTAACCAAGTGTATTTATTTCAGCTTTGTATCAGTGAGTATGTTTATCAAATACACATTTATGTATTTGCGATTCAATGACTGATGTAAATCTTAGTACTAATTTGATGATTATTGGATACTCCAGATAATTAGGAACGTTGAATTAAGATTCTATCATCTTTTATAAAGTCATTTTTAAAAATCCAAGATACAACACTGAAACTAATATACATTTTGCTGTATTGAACTGAGAATTATCATTGGTTATTTTGTAGACTGTGAGTATACTTAGATGGTCATTACTGTGTGTTTGACGTAAACATTTTTCTGTTCCCAATGTTTCCATGAAATCCAATTAATTCTAATAGTTCCATAATAAATTCTATTGAGCTTCTTTGAAATAGCTAGTATTAAAATGATTTATTTTTTAACAAATTCTAAGATGATGTTGGATTCGAATTCTGAGAAGAAATTTACCTGTAGCATAATACCAGAGTAAATTTTACAGTTCGTTACACAAACTCTAACTAGATGTGTACAGTTTGTATCAGTGATAGAGTGTCTACTTCCATAAGCTCTTGTTAAAATATATTTAACTACTTTTTAAATGATTATGTCTCTTCATTTCATGATATCGTCAACGTATTAATGAAATCAGTAAGTTCATGAAACTGAAAAGACTGTTTTTCAGTCTATCGGAGATAAAGTTTGCACCAAAAGCAAACTCTATTATTTATTATCGTTCAACTTAGTATATTCACTGATAATCCACAGGTTTCTTTTCCTTGACTGGAACGACTGAAGATTAATTTTCTGAAATACACCACATACAGCTGTTCAATAATCAATTGTCGACTTGTTGTAATGGCCTTATTTTTACAATTAATTTTGTTTTAAAAAAAACCAGACATCAATTCATCATTCACTCTATCTGTTCACTGTCTAAATCTATAACACAGGCAACTACCAATATGTTATGTTTGTTTGACTACAGTCATTCATTCATCATTCGCATAAGTTTCCCTAGACTCTGATCTACTGACAGTCATATTTAGACAATATTAGTATTTCAATAACATGTCAATAATAAAAATAAATTTAATAATAAGCCAGTTCTAAACAAATATAGTATTTTTTAAATGTATGCATTCCACCCTAATTAAAACTACAACTATACTCAATAATAATTTTTGTGTTTTTCATTTATTTCGTTTTTTTTAAAAATTCTACTTCTTCATTGTTTTGTTGTGTTTTTTTTTCTTATTGAAAATAAACTTTCCTCTTTAGATAATTGAACACTGTAGGAAAGAAACTAATTTAGAATGTCTACGAAATGAAATGAAATTATTATTAAAAATAATCACCGACTAGTAAGAATAATTCGTGTGTATATATATTTTTTTTATCGATTCTGTTGTTCGTTTGTTTGCTTGTTTTGTTTTTTTTAAATGACAATGATGTGCTTCGCTTAGACTGTGTTGCTGATAACATCATCTGTACAGATTAGCGTTCGTAAAGAATAGGAAACTGTGATTAAGGGTAACATATATAGATTTCCGTGATGTTGTATCCTTTCGATTAGATAGTTCAACTGCAAGGCTTCTACCATTTTGATCTACGATATCAATAATGGTTATTTTTCAAACAGAAGCTACACAGCTGAATCATATAACTCATCAAAAAACATAACATCAAAACATTTACCTTAACTGAAACTTTTCATTTCTCATGCTTAATATAAGTCAAATCACTGGGATCTATTTTAAAATGTTACTAAAATTAAATACAACTTATCTTATTAAACTAGAAGAATGAAAAATAAAGAAATTGTTTGATGCATGAAATGTATAAAATACACGAGAATTGTGAAGTGTTAAATGATTGTGCTAGACGTTGTCGACAAACAGCTAGCTCTGTACAAAGATTTCGTGTGAGAAGATGCTGTTCATCGTTGATAATCTTGAAGGAACTGATACACTCTATGGAACTGAAGTCACAATTAGAAAATATCAATTGCATTCATAATCCTATTTTATATTCAAAAAAATGAAAACAGATTAAGTGCTCTTTCATAAAATAGCAAACTATCACATAAATCACTGGTCGTTGATCTTGTCAATCAAACGAAATGGAAAATAAACAAAGCAAAATTGTCATTCAGCTGAAATCGTATCATTAAGAAATAAATGTTACTTGTGATTCATGTATCATGAATTAATCAAAATGTAACCGAAATCTTGACTGTAAATAAATTTCAAACTATAAATTATACTGAAAAATAAAAAACTGAATCCAAAGCGTCAAGTATCAAATGATTTAGTCTGTGAAAGAAATTCAACTTGTTTTCTTTTGGTCATATGCTCAACTTTGTAATGCTTTTGTGCTGCTGTTTTTGTTATATAATCTTATCATACACTGTTTATTTGGCACTCATGCTATCTCTGAATGATTAGAATGGCGAATATTATTGCAAAACTGTAGTGGTTGGTACGATTTCAAGTTTTGAGTATGACTGACAATATAATTATCTCGGTTGAACATACTCAGATACAGTTTACACTTATATTATTCTATATATATATATATATAGACTATTACTAATTCATTTTACCCCCAATAAATTAGTTTTCATCAGTTTACCAAAAAATGAACCTCCTCACTACAAGTTTACATTCTCTGAAAAAGATATAATAGAATAATAAAGTGCTGAACATTGAACAATTTGTGTCAAAAAATAATATCCTGTCTTTAAAAAAACAATGTGCGGTAAGAGGTTTTGTTGATTGACACTCAATAATAATCAATGAGTCATGAATTTTGTTTTAGTACACTGAATACTAGTAATCATTAATTATGTCAAAAAAGTATTTAAATAAGATGGATCATTTCAGACTGTTTTTCAATTTATTGAATAATTAAAATAATTAGTGAAACTGTATAATTTATTTGTAAGTTTGTCATGGTAGTTTTACTTCAAATCAATATTGAAAACGCTTTTCATAAAGAAAATAAAAGCTTTAAGATATACTGTTGAAAGTATTTATCATAATTGCTGTTGGAAACTCTTACAAATCCTGTTCAGTGATTGTTGTAGATACTTTACGCTTGAGATCGATTCAGACTTACTGAGTTACAAACGTGAAATTATTTTAAAAAAATACTTTATCAGTCTAATGCTGTTGTTTTTCCAACTTACGGCTACTCATAGTTTATTAGAATAACAAGAAAATATTAGGGGAGGAGGTTGATGTAGGCTGGATCAATAATTCACAAACTCACTGTCATGGACATTTGAATCTCACTTGCAGTGTGACCTTGAAATGGAATATGATCTGCCAACAATTGCTCGGCCTTTTTGCCTGCTTATTTCTACTTATCCTATTATTCTTTTTCTACAACGGACATTTAAAACCCAACATTGTAGCAATAATAAAAAATTTTCTATTTGTTTGTAGTACAATCTATTTTCATTCATTTATTCAAGCTTGTGTTATTTTTCTATTTAGTCCTGTACATATTCAGTGTATCCTAAAACAAACTAAACAAGGATTTATATTAGATCTATTAAAAATGTAAGTTTTAATTATTATTATAATTGTTACTATGATAATACTATCCGTTATTTACTAACTTTATTTACTCCTCTTGCCCCTAACAGAGGTCCCTATGTGGTTACTGCCGGTCCCAAGACCGGAGGAGGGTCGGGCATTATGTTAGCGACCACATCACGTAGAAAACCAACTCCCTAAAAACGTCTAACCATAAAAAAATGCTCATTGTATCTTTTTATTATTGTAAAAATGTTTCAGTACGTTTTAAGAGTTGAGAATGAATTTTCACCTTGAAAACACAGACATTAACTTTGTGAAGGAACCACAATTAATCAGTAGATATGAAATAAGTCTTTCTCATCCATTTCAGTTTGAAACCTATCGGCAATTCGATTCTGTGCTCTCATATCAGAATAAGTAGCTAGTGTTAAGCTTATCATATTTCGAAACTCTGTTGGTCAACATGTTTACGATTCCAGTCTTAAACTATACAAAGTCTGGTAAAGGTTTATTATAAACATTCTCAGTGTAGTTATTAGTGTTGGATTCACTCGAATAACGGTTGAATTTGCTTGAATAACGCACCTGAAATTTATTTTGGCTACGCGTAAATATTCATGTATATTTGTGCGTAAAAATACATGAAATTTTAGCTTACATTCAAAATGATAATACAACAACAATAATCATTCATAAAAATCGCATGTTCAAAATGGTTATTCATGCAAAATATGTCTCAACTAAAAATAGCATAGCTAGTTTTTTCAATGAATAATTTGACCGGTGAATTACAAAAATAAGGAGTTGAATCCTAACTACTAATAAGTAGTATAGTCATAAAACAAGAATTTGACGATAACCATCATTATCCGGATAAATAATTGGTTATTTAAAATAGATCTACATGGATGCATGGGTTCAATTCCTGAGAGCAGCGATGGTGGATGCACATTATGATTTGTCCAATACTAGGACGATACGGCCGTCTAGTGCTTTCAGGTTTAGTTATTATAGTGGTCCAACTGCGACTGATTCATGGTTTCAAAGGAAATTTTAATAACTGTTAATAACTATTTGGGTAATTTAGAAATTTTTTGTTTAAAATCATCTATATAAATATCATGTACATTTTGTAGAATCCAATCAAACATTACTGGTTATAAATCTTCAACAAATTATAATTTAATTCATTTGGAAACATTACGATGTGAATTACAAAATCTTCTTATGAAATTTCTATATATTCTTTTATATTATGGAAAACAACAAAATCATTTAATATGCTTAGCACAACAGTTACTTGAAAATGTGAAATTTGTTGAAGTGAGTTCTATTTTATTGCTCTTTGTTCGCTCTATTATTATTATATTTTATCAACTTGATATTTTTAATTTGTATTTCTATATAGAATAGATCTAAATGAAAATGTGTTCATTATTTTGAATTGACTTGAACATTACATTCTCTGTATATTTGTGTGAGTATGTATCGTTACCTCAATTCTTCTTCGGGTTATTGTTTACCTTTTAAAAGGAGTGCCTACACTTAAAGGAGATTTTAATGAATACCTTATTAATTATTGGAATCTGCAGACACAATCTAATTAGGATAAAAATTAGGTTGGTGAAGTAGCGAATTTTCACCATATAGGATGATAATTGAGACAGTTATTTTTCACACTCAATTACCGCTTACCTCAACTCAGAATGTTACTACCAGAAACAATATGTTGGAAGAAAGCTAGAGTCTGTTAAACTAGAATGTCCATGAATTCATTAACTGATGGACTGAGTCCTACTAGTGCGTTCACACCCCTTGAATGAGATCCTTGTGATGATGATTGTGAAAATGTTTTCACCAAAGTTGATGTCTGAGAATCGGTTGCAATGACGTTTATACATTCATTGGTAACATTGTTCGGTGCCTGATTTCAATGGAACTTGTGCAAATATTATTTTCGGTATATTTGGTTTTATTACATCATCAGAAATTCAACTCAAACAGTAAACGAATATTGTATTTTTCAATAAGTGTATGTAAGTACATATAATATAGTCCAAACATTCTGTACAGTTAAATCATTCTTACTTACTGATAAGTTTTTCGTCAGCAACATAAAGTGATATGTGTTGACAAAATCTGACAAAGTTTTAGTGGAATTTAAAAAATTGAATGATACTAATAATTTTCTTTATATCAATAAATCTTAAATAGATCAATGTGTATACATAGATTACTAATCATAAAATATTGAATATTTTGTGTAAAATTATTAGGCAATTTGTCCTCAACTATATTTTTATGTACAAAATATTTGGAGAAATATAACTTCGTGTTGTAGGTCGCTACCGACATGTTTTCATTCTGCACACATGTTAAACATAAAAGTCGCTCTCCTTTCGATGGCTCTCCAGGAAAATAAAGTGACAGGGAGTTTGATTGTTACAAACTATTCATTATCCGACAAACTCTTCTTCTGTTAGAAACTCAACGCCAACTAATATCTCTCAAAACATTCTCTTCTTCACTCTGACAGTGACAACTAGTTTTTTAAAATGGTAATCCATTAAAGTTGACAATTTTTTTTATTCATCACAAAATAGGACCTCCTCTGTTTGACGATTAGAACTAAGTTTTTGATTCACGTAAGGCAGACAACGGTACATGGAAATAATATTTTACACTTCAAAAAAATGTATTTACCACAGATTACACGTTATTCATACACAACACTGTCAATGCAACGAGTCATCATCACATCGTTATATTCAAACGACATTAATATAGATCACTCTCAAAGATTTAAACTAATCAGTCATAGGAGAGACTAAAAAAAATAAATAGAAAGGCAGTCTAAGCTAAAGAATGTTACTGTGTAATTTATAAAAATGTTAAAAGAACAAATATTATTAACCGTTAAACAAAGTTTTCATTAAGAATATGATTGTTATATGCTCAGGGAGATGAAGGGATTATTTCGTTTATAATTTTACTAAGGACAGTAATCACGAGAGCTTTTTCACGAATTCAGTTTTTTTTATAATTGTCGTTAGCCTTCTCCGATTGGTTTGCATCACTTTTGGCTCATAATTTCAGGTCATACTTTCTTCACTAAATTTTATCATTTTAAGTTGTTCTGGTCAAAAATGTGAAGCTTTTTCTATACTTCATTTCCATACTTTAATACTGGCTAATTGTTCAAGTGTTATATGCCGTCATAGAGTTCCCTACAAGACCGTTGATATTAAAACATTTCACTGGTTCCTGAATCTAAATGCTTCGTAGACAATCCAGAAACCTCGTTCCTATATAAATTTAATAGCATTTAAAATTTATTTACTATAGCAGCCAGTTATTGTTAATAAGATCTATGTTTCGTACTTCCTTATTTATGATGTTGGTTTTTGACAAGACCTATTTTGAAACCATAGAAAGCTCCGTAAGTTACACAACTAGATAATAACAAGAAACTGCAACCAATCGATTCAAACAAGGGTAAATATTTCACAATCTTTATCACTGACAGCAATAAACCTAGATTAGATTGTGTCAGTTATAAACTAAGGCTGGAAATCCGATTTCACCGGATTCCTCCTACCTGATAGATGAATTTTCATCTTTCTCTCTTCAAGGCATGTTTTTGATCTTGTATAATGTGGAGTTGATATGAAATAGTGTTCTTTTTTGTTGTTGTTTTAAACTGCTTGTATTGTTATTCTGTTAATGTGTCATAAATTCATATGGAGGATAACAAGCCTTCAACTTATTGCAAAGTTATAAATGTCTGATACAATTCCAACAACAAGACTATCACAGCGATACCGACACTTTTACCTTCTCTTTTTTGTAATTTGAAGAAATCAGAGATCAAGAGATTATGCATCTGATATAAGGCTAATATGCAGTAAATGTTATTTTCAAAAAACTCCTCTTCTCTCTAATGTAATCAAATATTTGAGTATAGAATGAGGCTACTTTTTTTCCGTTGTTTGCTTGATAAATGTTTCACCGAACGCTTCTATCATTCTGAGTTTCACTTCTGATTTTCCCCCTCCCTCTGATTGTTGTCCCACTTTTTTTTAATTTAAAGTGGATTCCAGAATTACTCGATCGTTCACTATGGAAATTCATAATTAATGCATACTGTCGAAAAAATCATTATTTCAATTATTCAATGACAGAGACATTTAATTTGTCAGATAATAAATTTGATGAAAATCCAGAAAATACATTTGTATTGAAATTTTTGAAAGATTTTTCAAATTTTCTTGAAAATGATTCATTATGCAAAACAGAATACAATCAAAGTAACAATGATAACAATATTATCAACACAAGTGTTTACAATCCTAATAGTGAAAATATTGAATTCGAACAACAACAACAACAACAACGTATTTTGTCATATCGATCGACCAGTAGCAATAGTATTACTACCACAACAATAACAACAACTACTACTAGCACTACTGCTACTACTACTACTACTACTAATTCTAACAAACAACCCAGTATACAATTGCTGAGTTCAATATGTCGAGTACAGCAAATAATTAATAGTTTATTGATTGACAAAATGAAAACACCATTAACTCGTACAGTGAGTTCTATTTAAAATAACTAATTTGATGTGATAATATGTATATTCTTTTTTTCCATAATCACTATTCACTATTGGAAAAGATCAAGTTTTTGTTGGAGCAATTTTTCAATGACAATTTTTTTGTTGGTATAATTGAATTATGTTTATAAAGTGGAATCCAGCATAATAAATACTTATAATGACGATGTTATTGATGAGTAATTCACTCAGTTCTCCTAATTAACAACGATGGAAAATTACAAATTTATACAAATAATTTCATATCCATCCAACGCGTTAGTAGTTATTTGGACTCAGTGGTCTAATCGATAACATGTTTGTGTTTGAAGTGACTGTTATTAAGCTGGAGTCTTAGTGTGAGTATCTGCATTCAGAAGCAGGTGAATCCATATGACTTATATCTTTGTTTCCATCGCTAGTCACCATCCATAGATACTACAATAGGATTTGTTTCTAAATTTTCAATCGTCTATTCAGTCAATATAACACTCTGGACGTAAATGTGACAGCTGGAATTTTGACAAATTGGTAAAGCGATTCAACAAGACGAGAAAATAGACTGTCAAAATCTATGAAAATCTAAACATGAGAAATACTTTTCGATAGGATTTTGTAAGCTTAAAAAATGGTAGGGAATATTTATTGAGCTAAGATTTGAGAAAAAGATAAGTAATAAATACCAACTTCTCCTTATCGTTTAACATCTAGATTTACTCATAGTCATTATTGCTGCTATCTATTCAATTCAATCTAAACTTACAATCACAGCCCATATTAATGAACCATGATTAATTTATGAATTGATACAACGTTTCCGTTGGACAACTTCTAATTTTTTTGCACACTACTTCAATGTCAACGAGGGTGAGTGGTGGTTAAAACATAAGTTCTAATCGTTGCTGTTTATAGCGTCGATTTACCAACCTTCACCTAGGGCTAAAGTTCTGTTGTTTGCGATCGATGGTTCGAAGACATTAATGATCGAAAACTGCTATGGTTGTGATATTTAGGTTACCACTTGGTATCGGTGAACTGAACGTATAAAGAGCGAAGCGATAACAGGACAAGCCGAGCTGTTCTTCTGATTCCTAGGCCAGGTAACTAGAGAAAGAAGACCAGAGTCCATTTTAAGAATATATAATCCGCAAGCAGCCCAGAACGAACAAACATATAAGCACTCAGTTTATGCATAATATACAAGGAGATTTCTGAAGAGCCAGTATCCCCAACAAAAATATTTCGTTAACTGCTGAAAAACAGTAAGAAAGTATTTGATTAATCCAGAAGGCAGTGATGCGACGTTAGGAGATGCACTCCCATGATAACCCATGACTAGCAACAGGTTCATACGCCATTTATTACGTTAGGATCCTGATGCTAATGTGCACCACGGATTTTAAATCAGGACTTTTCAACTGCCCTGGCTGATCCTCCCTTTCCACCAAGTCGGTTAAAGCGCTTGATATTCCCTTTTGGTCCCTTTGAATTCGTGGACAACACCCTCTGAATATAAAGGCCGAGTAGAACAACACTGTCAATGGCTTTGTATGCGTAAAAATAAGAATCTTTCGAGAAGGAGTGAAATCTCTTCTCTCTGAATCGTACTACGACATTTTTGAGTCATTAAGTTATTTTGGTCTGAATCTGAAAGGCTAAATTGTTACTCGGTAGGTTTTAAAATAAACTAGCAAATCCCTTGTTGAACAAGTTAACAATCTGTTTCTTCAAATATTTATCCAAATTAAAATAATGAATAATTAAACCACTGTTTTGTTTACCCAATTTACATTCAACATGGATTTGTACCGGTGATAATTGAGTCAACAACAAATCAACAAAAATGTTTTCACTGCTCCACTCAATATTTTATACCTTACTGAATCAAGAGATATCGCAAGATAGCACCTGACTTCGAAGTTTACCGGATTCGTTATTTACCAAAACTATCAATTTTTGTATACATTTTTGAAGTTTAAAATTATTATTGAAAATCTATCAAATTTTAAGCATTAAAGAACTCAAAAACAGAATAAATTGTTTTAATGAGGCTATTTCAGCGATGTAATAGAATAAATTAAAGTCTATAATCATCAAATTCTACCTCATTCAACAACTGCCTCAAATATTGATTGCCTTATTCATAGTCACTTCTTTTCCTTTTGTTCGTAGTGAGGCAGTCGCCTATTGATTAAGGCGTTCAATTGCAAACCTCGAGATCCCAGTTTCAAATCTCTCTTTACACACTTTAGTTTGAGCCAACATACTCAAAATGTGATTAAAAGTCAAGTAAACAAATCTTTGTATCCGGTAAACAAATTAGCTCTAATTCAATTTGTTTCTCAATTATGCTATTTTTACCAACGTTATTTTTTTCATTATCTTTGTTCTCTATTTTATAGTCCGAAGAAAATCTTGAAAAAATGAAACAACTTTGTTCAACAATATATTCTGATGATCATACAATTAATCTAGCTGACGGATATATGGAAGAAGCGTGTATTAAACTAGGTTTCAAGGTATGATGATAGTTTTTTCTGTAATCTTTTTCTATAAAATCTACATGACCGAATTGGACTCAGTGAGATTTTATAGTTGTTAAAATATTCGACTTCTAACTTGTAGCATACACTCTCAACTCTTGTGTAATCATCGGAGTAACCATTGCACAAACATCTGTCGAGTGTCATTGGTAATTTCCTAAAACATTCCTCAGAGGTCAGGGAGAGTATCGAAAAATGTATAATTTGACTAACCAGGTCCTTTTGCAAACCTCCAAGAAAAATCTAGAAGTTAACTCATTATAGTTTATTTATCGTGATTAAATTATTGCCATGTTTGTCACCGGTTCTAACAACTTTTACTGCAATATTCTAGAATCCTCAGTTCACTTAAATTTTGATAAATTTCCCTGCTCTATGTACAGAGTTTGACCTATCGAAACATAGCTTCTGTGTTTCCATCATACGTTTTCTGTCCGTGATATAAAATTTCCATGGTATGCTGTAACTGCACGGTTGTACAACCAGTGACTGAAATTATACATTATATATGTAGGCTTCACAATACTTAACAGGATAACAATCAGTTTACATCTAGTGAGTCTAGAGTCGAAATCAATAGCGGATAGGAAATCACGTATTAAATAATCAGTTGGCTGAGTGTCTGTCCATGCACACTCAGTGGCAAATCAATATCTTACATGTACTAGCCACCCATCACTTCGACGATGAATAGTTGAGAGAAATTAGAAATTCACTATAATATATATATATATATATATATATATATATATATATATATATCAAAGTACCTAATCTAAGAACAATGTACAACAAACTCCTATAAATAAACATAATCTTAGATGAGTTACATAAAAGTAGCTGTGAATAGGGGAAACTGCAAATAATAAATAGATTGGGAACAGCAAATGGTATAACAATAGTTGATGTGACAAGCGAAAGCTTATGATCAAAGGAATATCAATATATCGTAGTCTAGTTACGCAGTAATTTTAAAATAAGAATATCTAAGTAACAGTAATAACAATAATAATCATAATAGTAATCTTCAAGTCAGTTCAGGGAGACACCATTTCTTCGATATCAGCATCTACACATTTTTAACTCCCGTCAGTACATTCATTGTGATATGGAAATAAGGAAATAAGTTTAACGAAGAAGTCACTCTCTCCAACGAATCCCCATAAAAAACACTACAATCTTAATAATATTCTCTTTTCTAAAAACAATAAACACTAATTCGTTTCTGAATCATAATATTAATAATAATAATTCATTAAAAAAATAATGATAAAGAGATAAAATAGACAAACGCACAAAACTGTTGTCTTTATTCAGAAATTGAAAATGTAGTTTTAAGAAATTGAATTTATGCAATAACCTGTTGATCAACAAATGTCAGTGATAGTGAACAATCAATATTGTAACATAATAATAACTGTTGATATAACTAGCACAAGTAGGTAGCGGTCGGTAGTGGATAATCGGGCGCGCGTTTCAGCCTACTTGTGACTTATCAGCTGGATATACTTACCGATCGATTGCAATTCTAAACATTATTCGAAAGATCCAAACAACCAATACAGGTATACTATTCTAATTATTTAATTATACAGCATCTCATATTTATTGGCTATAAATATTTCTTTATCAATCATATCCATTTTAGATACCAAGTGATCCATATGCTGATTTTGAAAAACCACCGGGTACACTTGGATTTCAGTGTATTTATGCTTATATAATGAAACATAAACACAAACTTATTGATATGCTTAGTTATGCTTATCCATGTCAAAAGCATTCCTATATTACTACGAATACCAGTACTACTAGTAGTCATTGTAAATGGAATCACTTATCGGAATTCATTATGTCATCCTCTGTTAATGTGAATAGTAATGGTAATATTGATTTAAATGAACTTCGTAATAACTCATCACAGCGTGTACAACGTCATTTTTCCACGGTTGATTCAAATTATATTCGAAATATATTGTATACTACTCATTTACATGAAGGTAGTATACAACAACAACAACAACAACGTAATAATGCCACTGGACGACGATTTACAGTGGATTCATTATCAACACCACTTAATGTATCACAATCATTAAAACCAATGAATGAGTATTATAATAATAGTTTTTCATGTAATTACTCTATTTCATCATCTTCTTCAACAATTTCATCATTATTAATTGATAAGAAACCGTTATTTCCAATTATTGAAGCCGCTAATGCTGTAACTAATATGCTTTGTGAATTGATTACAACTAATGGTAAGAAAACAATAGTAATATAATATTAAAGCACAAGTGCTTATTTCTTGTTTGTTCATAAATTGTAAATGTAAATCAACAATCAAACGTAAAGTTTCATGTGCAATTACGGGACTATCGGAAACATTTTCATTATATGATTGTCGAGCTTGTTGAGTTTAATCCAAATCATAAATCGATCATTATTAGATTGTAGTGGCCAATGTTTCACTAGTTTCGTGATGGTCAGTATTCAACGTGTTCCTAGACTTCGTACTTTGCTCGTCCAGACAAGAACACTAGCAATCAAATTGGCGAAAGAAGTGAAGTGGAGTGGAGAAGGCTAGTGAGCCAACGATTGTCTAAACGAGCAAATCGAGAAGTCTAGGAACACGTTTAATACTGACCGTCACGAAACTAGTGATACCTAACCACCACAAGATCACCATTAGAAACCTAGCATTGGACGACCCATTCTCGCGGCAATGGAACCCAGGACCTTAGGTCTCGTGCTCAAACGCTTAACCTCTAGACCAGTGAGCTAGCACCCAACAGTGTCAATGTCTAACCTTGATCAATCTACAGTCTTGCTCAACCTCATCTGTTGTCTCCGATGTGTATTGCCGTACACCTGACAGGGTCGTCGGTGTTCACCACTGATGAGTCCTAAAATAGGATGAAACGACCGTCCATTGCTAACAGGTTTCTAATAGTTGTCTAAAATTGATCGATTCATGATTTCAAAGAAACGTTTTTGTCCATATATGAATCAAAAATAAGTGAACCTGTTCTATTTTGTGATTAGCTTACGGTAATTTGAAACTCTCCAAATGTTTGATGGGATCTATTTGAACTACATAAATAAACAACACTTTAACTGTCATCTGCATCTGCAGTTGATGAGAGGAAGCGGTAACTCCGGAAAATTTTAGTTTTCAAAGAAATTACAGTGGAACAACTATGTTTGTATACCAACCACCGTGACCTTTAGATACATAACTAAGATACTGAAACTAAAAACGGATGTAACCAGTCAGATAACAATAAACGTTATTAGGGCAATATGAATTACAAAATAGTTACCAAAACAGAGTTCACATACCCAACAAGTCAATGTTTAAACGTCTAGTGATTCAACCACGAAACCACCATCATAATATAGTTGCAATAGCTACACTGATCGAACACTTGAACATGTTTTCACGATTGTACATTTTCGATTTTTCTTCTATATTTCTCGATATTTTGATGCACTCCCTGTAGTAATATTTACTTTTACTCGCTGTTCACAGTTGTTCTGCCACCGATGTCTGCATAAAACAAATTGATCTAATAACTCATTTATTCTGTTTTCTTATAGTACTTTGTTAAAGATGATCAGGCTAGTGACGCAGTCATAATTTTCTTTAGCTTAAGTCACTTTTCATGGATAAAGTGTCGTATTTGGAATGTAGATATTTTTACGAATAAAATAGATTGATAAAGAGTTTTTGTTAAGTGCTTCTATAAATAAAAGTAGTAGATAAGCCGTTCACTTTAGCTTGATACGTGTTCACAATGTGCATACACAACTCACCTTTCAGTGTAATCTTTTTGTGATTTGAATAGTTTCGGTTTAATTCTGTATGGTTTAGATAGTGTGTACTCATAGCAGTAGTTACAAAACTAAAAGAAAATGACTGTTCACTTTAAAATCATGTCACATTATATAATAGTGAGAGTAATGAGCATCATTTACAAATGTTTATTTTGTAAATTGATATAAATTCTATCATCACATACTCTGTGTATGTGATTATTAATCATACTTGGTAGAAGTTATTTCATTCTAAAAAAATATTGATTGAATAAAACAAGTATTTATTAACATTAACTTCATTTACAGAAAAGGTTATAAACTGTTATTAATCATACATGAGAATATAGAACATTGTATTACCTATTCACTTGAAATGATACTTATTTCTTTTAAATAGTTACTGAGTTGGCTAATCAGAACTATTATAATCTAGCCTACCAACCCTTTTCACTTTGTTTTATATTTTAGTGAAGTCTCTTTTGGATTAGGATAGTGAGATCTGATCAATCGGATAGTAAGCTATGATACGTAGAATCACGTGTTTCTGAAAAGCTGAATAAATATTAATAGTTTGAAATTAAAGTGTAATGGTCCTATCACGTCACTTAGGTGCTTTGTTTTTTTAACTCATTCCTCAACTAAGCATTTGGACACAATGAGCTTGGAAATCGTTTAGCAACTAAAATTTCTTTTTTGAATACAAACGTTATCTATTAGCAGTTAGGTTTATTATGAATAATTTATAACTTACATGGATGATTGTAAAGCAATGCAAACCAACAACCTTTAACTCACTGGTCAACTACACACAAATAACTAACTCGAGCAAACTAACTACCGTTTGAGTTTCAGTTTCATTTCAATCTGTAGGCTATCTGCTTCCAATTAGGTCCCCGACCTGGTCTGATCTACTCAGTATAAGTTGAGTTGGATGTGGAAAAGGCGAATGATTACTTGTTTATATTTATTAAACTCGGAAGGAGTCTAATTGGCAAATATATATTTCTCTGAATAAACATCTAACGTTGACGATCATACCCACTTATTGTGGGTAAATGAAAAAACCTTAAAAACATTGTCTCTTTACCTAGCGATTTCGCTTTAATTGAACATGTCACAGCTCATTTAATGACTAATTTCAAAATAAGAATCTTTTAAGTTTTAGTGAAAACTGGTATTGATTGGTGATATTAGATGATCCAGAGCATTCCAACGTCACTTTATGATTTTGCAGAACATTTCAATCTATGATTTAAAAAAAAGATTGTGAAATTATTTGAATTTTTATACAGACTACTTAGTTGTAATTAATTGTTTCTTGTTCTCTTTCCCTCTTCCATTCACACGCACACATACTATTTCATTGTTTGTATACATATTTGTTAGATACAATTCTGGAACCAAATATTATCATAGAACAAGGTGATAAGGATTGTTATCTTCCATCACCATTATATCTAATTTTATTTAGTAATACTAATCGTCATCACAATCATTCATCATTAACATCATCATTTGACGATTTATTCGATTGTGTCTTTTCGACATTTTTCTATTCATGGACTCAAATGAAAGCTGTACCTGAAGATCTGATTGCAGTAAGTTTCCGTTGAGCTAATTTTCATTTCTCATCTTTTCTATGCTTGGTTTTTTTTGTATTTATTTAAAACAACTTGAAGCGTATTCACTATGGATCTTAATTAATTGAAATCTCTTTTAGTTTATAATATATAACAATACTGTTGTGTACAGAAGTGATTTGTTAATTTTATTTGAACTAATTCAAATTGGTTTGAATTTTAGTGGCAAACAAACAATTGACTAGATGATTGGCATTATGAATTGGAATTAATGAAAAATCTCTCATTCCCGTGATGGACATTCAAAAATACTGAATGAGTGAAGAGAAAACCAAATTTTTCTTGTGAATTGATTTTCTCAAATTAGTCATCAAAATAGTAAATCAGTTATTATGAGTTTGGATTGATACATAGTTTAAGGGTGTTTGTTTCACTTCATTGTACCTATTATTATTATTATTATTCTAGAGATTTTATAATATGACAAATTGATCATGGAGACTTCAAATTAGTATTTTCATCCTGGATAAATATAACTTAGTAGTGTATTACAGATATGTCCTTAGAGGAGGTGTAACACTTACGACATCTGAATTTTAGGGGTTGATCTTTCACTCTATAAAGAATTTTATCTACCTATTTAGGGTTATAAAAGCCTATTTGATGGTAAGCGTTGATAGTGTTGAGCTGTTTAAATGTTTCGGGTTAGAAAAGAAGTGTTTAAATTGAGTTTTCTTCATAAATGTACTTTATTACCACGTGACATAACTGCGTCACTTGTCTGTGTGACACAAGGAAGTGGAATCGTTGAGTAAGTTAATCTTTTTTTTATGATATTACTCCACTGAACAAGACAAACTGAATAATGAGTCTGTAAGTCTCCATCGAATAAAATATCTGAAGCATCTGTTATTCTGGCTTTAGGATCAAGGTATTATATTGAGTAAAATTAGATTGTTAGAAAGCGAATCGACTCTTTCATCTTCGTTCCGTAAAATTCTGTCGCCTTAACTCACTGTTTTCATACAAAGCATGGTAAATTAGCTATACATTTTGACTAGTTCTTTTTTAGTCATGACTGATATTTATCTCTTAGATAAAAACTGTATAAATATTAATTTTTCTAAAATCTCTTATATAATGATTAATAACCATATTTAATAAAGAAATTTGTGATTGAAGAAAATAATATATTTTCAGTGTTCCGAGTTAAGTACGATTGGATCTAAGCAGCACTACACAGCGAGTTTACCGACTTCTGTGATAGACAATAAATAGTTATTAATGTTAAGTGTACATAAAACTGACAGTATTTTTTTTCTTAATATGGCTATTAGTTTTTATGTTTGTCGTCTAATTGACTGAGATTTTTGATTCAATTCAATGAAGAAAGTGTAAACTAACACACTTTGCTTATAGAATTATTCAATAAACATTCAATCCTAGTTTTGATCATTATCCTATATGTGACAAAAGAATTTAAGAATTTAAAGTTACATAGTGATTGTGAAACAATAATGTGTAGCATAGAGAGATAGATATGAAAAATAATTGTCCATCTGAAGAATGTAAGAAAGATTAATAAAAGAATGAATACTTCCCAAAAAGCAGTTTACCAGATAACATGAAGTGGTGGCATTAGGGACCATGATTAATTAGGGATTTGAATATACCGCTTTTAAATGTATAGATCAAGTTTTGTGAACATATGTTCATGTCTTCTTTATTTTACCTTTATTCACCAAAACACAGTAATTCTTCATCTCTCTTTCGATAAGTTATTTTCATCTTTATTACCGTTTGACTATCACGTGAATTTAAATTCTTTTAATTAAGTTTATGTCCCTTTTTATTACTGACTTCACAGTTTCTATACTGATATAATGTACATATACACTAAATATTTATTGTAAGTATTCATACTAGTACGAACCAGTTGTTTAATACTTTCTGCTTTTGAACGATTATCCAAAGTTAGTCCGTATAGTGAATTATTCATTAGTGCTAGTTTTGTATCGGATCGCTGTTCATACAGAAATTCATACAAATAAATATCTTCGAATAGTTTCCTGTGTCATATAAAGAGGTCATTTAATTGCTTTCATCAAAATTATCTACAGTATCATTTGTAAAATTGTTTCTGGCGTATTACATTATTGACTTGCAGTATTTAATTCCATCGTAGAATTGACAAATGACACAAACATTTCATAGTTCAATTACCACTCATGCATACATGGTGTGTAACTGTTATCTAAGTTGATTTTAGTTAGTTAGTATGTCTACCTATTTGCGATTTGTCTGTTTATCTATCTTAGTGGGTATTGTTTACGTGTAATGTGATAGATGATGATAATCGATCTGTATGATTACTATATCCAAATTCTAGAGTTAGCTACACCCACTCATTATACTCTCATTAACGTTGTGTACAGACATAAATACACCTAGACATGTGGATATTACTTGAGAGAGAAAAGAAGATATTCAAAGTACGCTGGATAATAATTAGCTAAATGCGGTGACTTTCGGTTTTGTTTGTAAACCGATGATAAACGCTTTTATTTGAGGTTCGATGATAAATAATGTTCGAATGTAAGTTATTCTTAATTTTTTATTTCTTTTTTTAAGAAATCTATGATTTTTTCTGACTGAAAAAACACAAACATGAGTGATTTCAGAATTTAGTAGATATATATGTTAATATTTTTGTTTTATTAAACACTCGTTTATTTATGGCACGCTGAACGAAATACTGTAAGATGCTTTGAATTTGAACACACTAATTTTGTATTTTTGTAATACGAAACAACTGAGACCACGATAAAAATTGTATCCACGTCATAAATGTTTTATCATTTATGTATATATATATATATATATATATATACGTAAAGAGGAAAAACTTATATTTAACTGAGAGAAGAACATCCCAGCATTCAGTATAAAATATATTGTCTAACATTCAATATTTAGTAAAGTTCTTTTCTTATACTGCTATCCATTGTAGTATAAATTCTACTTGTAAATCTATTTCATATTTGTAAGTTGTATTACCATTACTATAGTTGTACGTAATATTAAATTTTTAGGAGATCGTAGAGAATTCTACGAACAGACAACGTTGTATTTCAGCGAAATCACTATGATATCTATATTCGAAGTGCAAATATATTTTGCAACGACGGAAGTTTTCAACATATTTTCTTTATCGCATGGTGGGGATTTCTTTCAAATCATTTGCATTTTGCTTTAGTTAGTCATCATCAACCTAGAAATGACATAGATGTGTGTTGTCCTAAGTTTCCGTACCACATTAGGCTTTACTTGGAATACATGATTTCTGATGTAATTATACCTGATGCTGACTGAAGACAATATCTAAAGAAAAAAATGTTTTGACTAATTCTGCCTCTGTTTTGGGTTTGGAACATTTGAAATGAAGATCCTTACTATAAGCTTTTCACAAAAGCATATAAGCAAATACTGTGTTCAAGAAGTTTAATAGTTTCGCAATATTAGGATAGTTAAAGAATGAATTTGAACATTTCCGCTGCTCGTCCCCCTTCCACAGTAGTAATCCAGTTTTTCAACGTTGATTCTAATAGTATTCTTACGAGAATGGAAATTAAAGTTGTATGCAATGAAGGTAGTAACTTACATACCATTGAACATTCTTCACATAACGGCATCATTTTATCAAAAATATCTTTGATATATTTAAACTATGCATAGTCAGCTGACTTCTTCGCATGTTTATTGTTTTCCTAGTTGTATGATGACATATTTTTTTTTATAATAAACAACACATATTCAAGTTAATTAATGTCGTTAAAAAAACTAATTACAAAAGAATTAGTATATGTAAATATCATATTAACCCCTATTTTTGTATTTGATTACGTTATCGCTAGATTTGTAAACTATAATTGCATGAAATAATGTAAAAAATTTCTAAATATGATTATTTCGCTTTTAAGAACGATAGCTTGCACTTTGTTCATTACTAAATACTGAAAAGGTTTTCCATCAATTCTTTAGAATGAATAGGTTGTGGGTGGCAGTGAGATCTTAGGACGCGTATTTCCTCCTATTCAAAACTCATAAACTGAATATTTCTACTATCATCTGAACTGATTTTCTTATAAGTATTTGCTAGAAATAGGTCTAAATACGTCTAAATTATTATGATGGTAGTCAGACTGACATTAATACAGTAATGTTCGTTTTAAACGCTGGAATGTTATCCCCTTGAGCAATGAGTTTCATTAACGACTTATTTTTCAATATCTACATATATGTATGTTTTAATTGTGAATGTTTGTTTGTTTTTACTAATGCTATTCAAGACTAATTTGCTTAGTCTCTGTGTTTTATCAATTTAGTCAGTTGAACAAGTGCTTGGACATGACATGGTTTTATAAGCTCATGACATCCTCGATAATGACTAGCAAAGAGTTACACAGCTGGCGTTTCGTCTTAGTCGGGACTTCTCCACAGTTTCTGTCCCTCATGTAGGATGTTTTCAACTGGATTTTTTTCTGTAACTCAAAGAGAAATTATTATTCAGTCGTTTCAATTCAAATGAAAAGTTTTCCCACTCTGCTATTGGAATATTATTTTATTGATTAAAAGGTTCGAATTTAGTTTTTTTTTACGTGTGTGAAACGAAATACGGGGATAGCAGTGGTTTTATTTATCTGGTGAAAGATAAAGTTATGCACAAGCCTTTGTAGCAATAATTTCAGCAACTGTTAATAATTTGAATAAACTTTTCTTTTGTCAGTCTATCCAAACCGTCATGCAAAATTTTCGCTAAGGATTTGTAAGGAAATCGACAGACTAACTTATAAATACACTATTTTCAACTTATAACATCAATACATTTATCTCAAATAATTTTTGTTTGTCAGTGCTGATCACATTAACAGTTGAGAGTGTTCAGATAAAGCTGTCCGAATCTGTAGTGAGATATGTCTATATATCATCATTATTAATTATTTGAATCATAGATAATATCTGAAGTGCTTCCGATTAGCTTTAAAGTTTGCATTGTAGTTTAATTTACCTCATGAGCTTACTTCAGTTACACATTCATTAGATAATACGAGCCAATCGATAGTTGTTTCATGCAAGTATGAGGCACCTGACACATCAGGAGTCTGAATCCTCAACTCTACTGGAAATCGAAACCATAACTTTCAAGTCTAACAACGAATGCTAAACCTTTAAACCAATTGATTGACAGCTGTATTATTGATTAATAATGTAGAGGAAGGAACAAAATATTCAATAAACCAGCTGTCATTTGGGATTTCACTTCTCTGTGGTTCTTCAATTGGTTTCTTTGTTTAATATTTGTTTTTATTTTTCAAAACAGTTTCTAACATTCTGTTGAAATTTTAATTTTAAAAGTGCTTATCTCTAGTTACCACTTGTATGTTAACTACCTTAGCGTATAAGATGGATATAATTTAATTAAAAATAGAAATAAACTTGGTGATCTGTACTTTTCATACTGGTTAAGAATTGAATGCAGAACATTTATTTTTCATGAATGAATGTTATTAAGGTCTTATTGTATGAATAATTAAATTGTAAAATTCTAATAATTTCTATTTTGTTGGTCAAGCTTCACAGAATAATGATATTCATTTGTACCTACTGATTAAAAGTAGTTACTTACTGCATAATGCACAAAACTAACGAAGAGTGAATTTAATTGAATCAAGAAGAGTAATTTGAATACTGTTGAAAAGGATCACTAAGTAACTGTATCGTTCTAGTTTTTTTAGAACTTTTCAAAAATATACACCGGCGTGAGATCACAAGTAACCTAACAGTTGACTTTTAGTCGTTATACTTAGACTACTTCGTTGAAATTCGGTGGTTTACAGTTTCAATGATATCTGATGCCGGTGAATGAAATCAGTGATATTTGATTCAACATGCATGTTAGTGTTTGTGTGTACTGATCAGACAGTGGTGTTATGTCATCTTCGCAACTATGGTGTAAGTGTCAGATCGGATCGTAAGGCAGGGGAGCAGCCGTATCGATCTAGTCTAAGTATTGATTAACTCGCTTAGACTCTGTATGCTCAGTACCAATGATCTTTGGCTAAATAATAACATGCTAAATATGAGATAAAATCTGATAGTAGCACTAATTGGCCGTTGATCCAGAATACAGTTTCCCATACTTACTAACCTGACAAAACAACTGAGCATGCCGATAACGTTCGTTCTAATTTATGAATCACTCAAAGAATAATATAGAAAGAAATCTTGATTTCACATCAGTGGAGCTAAAAAATTACAATATGGGCACGGTCACATCATCAACGAAAGACTAAAATGATCGGTTCGCAATAATTTGAGAAAGGTGAAATGCACAAAAATCATTGTGTTAAACTTACCAGCACGACAGTACAAGAAATGAATAATTATGCAACAAAATTAAAAACAATAACTTCGAATAAGATCGTTCTCAAAGTTCGCTTTGTCTCAATATTTATCCCGACATGGTATTAACATTTCAGTAGGCACCAACCTCAGTAGTTATAAAATAGACTCTTTGTTTAATGCCTTAAGCTAGTTAATTTTCTTTTCTAATTATGTGTTTACAGCGTGTTTACTTTATTACTGTTGTTGTTATTGCTACCATATTTTTTTGCATCACATAATCATAAAAGTTATGTAAATTCACTCTTCCTCTTTCTTCCACTCTCTCTCTCTCTCTCTCATTTTACCATCTTATTTCACTGAACCTTTCATTTGACCAACTGTATTGTTTTATATTTGGTCAAAAAATAGATTTCATGCGTTGTACGAGAGCAGATCATTCGTATTTTGAAAACTACTCCTATTTCATTTGAAGAATTTGAAAAATCTTTACTTAAATTTAATCCATATGATGTACCATCAATGTGGTCGAAACACGAAAATTGTCTACGTGTAAACATGTTACATAATCATCCAGCTCTAATGTAAGTTTTATCTTTTGGTTCTTTTTTAATTATTATGTAAATAAAATTTTGAGTTTATGGATTTGGCTTTTCCAGTCGAATAAGGATTTACAAATTTGGTAACGAAATGAAAACCCTAATTAAACATGTATGCAGAAAATGTATAGAAATGAAGGGTGACAAACAGAGTCATCTGTGAACATATACAGAATAATCAAATGATTACATTGACCCATATCGCACATCAGTCGTACACGTATTCTATTTTACGACAGTTCACACAAAGGCTTGCATCGATCTATCATGTTACTCATAACATAATCATAGATTTGATTGTATTTATTTTGTTCCGAATGTCAGACTAGTCGTTACAGCTAATTCACTTTATCTATTTTAGGTTCACTAATCTAATGAATCCTTTTTTTTACTAACCCTTTAAAATTAATTGTTTTTGCCTACGAAAAAATCGCCTTATAATTTCATAGTTACATATTCACTTGATTGACCAGTTCCTTGACGAACTTCTCGCTGTCTTATTCAAAGGAAGTTTTGCTCTTTGCAGTCAACATGGGAAGAAGCATGATAACCATTCAATGAGGACGGTATTTGATAAATATATCACACAAAAGAGGTTGGAAATCAAATAAATAAGAAATAATGTATTCCGATATAACTGGTCAATACCGTGGTGCTTAACTTAAAATCTGAACGTTTTAGCTTTGATTTTGTATTGAAATACATATATAAAGCTCAGGGCTCCTTGATATATGATTAAAACTATATCTTCATAATTTATGAACGTCCGTCAGAACTAAAGATAAGAAATAACGTGATTTTTGTTATAATAGCTATTCTTATGCAACTATCGTGTCTGACTTTATTTTATGACATGTTACTTCATTCATCAAGATATCCGAATTGAACTGCCCTAATCACGTTCATTTACAAACGCCGAATGAACACTTTAGTCTTACTTTTATGTAAACAATGTATAAAATTAATGTAGGTTATTTTGTTATTTCTCAACGAGCAGAGTAGAACACATTACTTTCATTTATTTTTGATTGCTTTAAAAAAACTATGCATTTGTAAGAACGTTTTTTTCCTAAACTGATTTTAAATCATGCATTGATCAATGTTAGACCACCACTGGAAACCTGAATGCATCGGACGGCCTTGTCATACTAGTATGAGACTCCAGCAGTGCGACGATGGATGATTTTCCCGGAATATCATGAACTGATTGAAGCTAGACATTAACATTGTTGAATTCTGGCTCGATGGTCACGAGATTAAGCGTTCGTGCGCGAAATCGAAATTCCTGAGTTCGATTCCCGCATGTGGGTTCGTGGTTGTGCCATGTTGGGATGAAATGGCTACCCTGTGTATTGAGGCTTACAATGGTTCGATTCATGATTTCAATGAATCTTAACAGGAAAACAGTATTACAAGTATTACAAGTCTGTTATTTTTTTAAAACAGTAAAAAATAAATGCGATTAATGTGTTGTATTCTCCTTGTTGAGAAATAACAAAGCTAAACAATCTCCACAACTCTACCCTGTTACTTTGTTGGTTGAATTTTCTATCAAATCCATGTCTGTTGATCAGTAGTATCGTATTGTAAATACAAATCATGCCCAATATGAAGTACTCTAGATTTATTGTTTTCATTGATTTCTTGCGAAATCACTTCACATTGTAACTATGTATTATAATTTGTAAATTCACTGAAGCGTCTAACGATATGATTAAAATACGCGTGAAATCGTAGTTCAGCAAAAACAACGATTTGTCTGAAGAACGATTCTTAAACTTAGATTAAGTACAAACCTCAGCTCTTGAGGCGTCTAGGCCGATTAACTCGCCTGAATATCTGTAAAGAAAAATGCCTTTTATAACAACAATATAAAGAATAATTACTATGTACGGTAGTGTAAATGACAGCTGATAACTGTCTAATGTTAACGACAATTGTTCGACAAGCAAACTGGAACTAAGAGCAAACAAATATGAAACTTGTTTTATTTAAACAAAACTTCAGGGAACGTTTAAAATAGTCAATAACCGCTACAACTGTTGAAAGAAGGTAACAATAATGATAAATGCAAAACACGCTATTTATTTATGTAAATACGTAGCATATCTCACAACAAAATAGCTAGCGTTATATTACCCGGAAGTTAATAAAGCTAAGACTGTTTATTGAATATGAATAAGTAGTATAACTCAGTGCATAAGAAACCAGAGAGATGAGGAGAAAATATGTAAAAGGACTTAAAAATTATTACTACAAAAAGCAGTTGAGAAACGGAATTTTCACATTTACTAGTAATCAACAATTTATCAATGCTAAATTAATGATTCCATTTCGAAATCGCAGATTTACTTTATTTATCGGCTCTAATATACTGGTACTCAAAACCCTAGGTATGGAACTGCCTACTAATTGCCTCTGACTTCTAATTTTCAACAAAGTATATAGCGCACACAACATTCAGCTAATAATCCTATTATAATTAAGGAACTAGAGCAAATATTTTAGTTTCGTAAGTGACCCTAATGGTAATACCACACTAGTTTAAACGATTTCTAATCTCACTGGAAGCATTATTTCATTCTCTATACTGAAGATATATCTCTAACTGACTAATGCCAACTGGGTCAAAACTGAGGTTCTAAACTTTCTATTAATTGACCATAGTCGCAAACTTATTTTATTATGACCTACTAAATTGTACAGAAAATTATCATGACACATTGAAAGTGATATTTTATTTTATTAGGCAATATTTATCAGTTGTATTCTCAATACATGTTTTTGATGTTTTAAATCCAAATATAACACCGTACTACACATAAAACATCAAAAATTTTTATCTTCTAAGTTAATAGATCATCAAATTATGTCCTATGAGAAAAAGGCTTTCAGTCAGTTAGCTACAACGCAGAACCTCGTATGTATGTACATCAGTTCAAGTTGCCATACCTTATTCTCACAGAGATCCCATTGTCAATTCAAATCCCGTAATGGTAGGGATAGTACAAGTATAAGCAGCATTTGGAAAGATCACGATCCGAAGATATTATTCAAGAAGTATAACCCAGTGAAATAGGTTGGAGAGGAAGAAAATGGAGGTCATGAGGAGTTTAGATTAGAATTTCGGAGAACACAAAGAATGGATGCACCTGCGTCATTGCAAACAATTTTGAGCCATGTCATTCAGGGTCTCTAACACAATCAATTTCTATCGTCTCCAACTAGATAGTCTACACTTAACAACGTAACTCAATCCAGTTGTTGGTGACTTCATGGATTTGTGCCATGTTTTAGTTTGGCAGCCCCTAGCTTTCTGCCAACGTGCTGTTACACCGCAAAACAGCTGGTCGAAGCAGTTTGGGGGTGGCACACGAAACACACGTCCCAACCATCTCAACTGATGAAGATTCAGTAACTCAGCAATCTACTTGCCATGCTTACCTAGTACTTATTTTTTAACAACTGAATTGCTTACTCGATTGTCCCAGGATATACGAGCAATACATATAAGACACCGATGATCAAAAACCAGTAAGATACTGCCGATTCCTATTGTCGGTCTTCACGAACTCGACTGATCATTCTTTATTTCTATATATTCATCGAGAGCAGTCTGTCCTTACATAGTCTTTAGCTATACATCATTTGAATCGAGAATGCATATTTCACCTTACATTGGGACCCGTTAGCATTTACCAGGAAGGTACGAGTAAATTCAAATGGCAATCTTCGAAAACAGACGTAACATACATCCTCGATCTCACCACTAACCGTACATCAAATATACTAAAATAGTCTTTTTTTTGAAATTGTTGTTCAATCTCATTAGTATATTGGTTTACCTTTATATATATAATTGACAATATTTCCCTTATAATCATATTTTACTGTTGTTTTTTTCTTCACTATTATTCACAATACTTAAAACCACTAGATGATTGGTATATGTATATTAAGGCTTCAATAAAAAGGTTTATCAATCATTGTTAACAGTAATTTTGTTTACATCTTACAAACTGTTGTCTTATAATTAGTTAGTTAGGTATAGAATGTTTGAAAAAACTAAATCTATGTGAAATGATTTTTATGACGAAATCAATCAATTTTAATTTTGTATAAATTCATTTCAATTTTATTTCATTTTACTAAGTAAATACAAAGTGTTCATTTGTGAAAAATTTTTGGAGATGTTTAATATCAACCTTAGCGATGAAAAAAACTCACTATTTCAACTGTCTAATTTATTGATTTTCTTCTCGATTGAAGTCGGTCAATCAGTTACAACGTAGAACTCCATACGTAAGTACATCAGTTCAGGTTGCCATACCACATCAGCACAGAGCCGAAACTGTCAGTTCAGTTTCCATAGTGGTGGTAGCGACAGTAGAGGTATTATCCGTAACCGAGAAGATTAGGGTTCGAACATATGACCTGAGAATTAATTTTTAGAAAGAGAAAGATAGAGGTGATGAGGAATTCAGAAGATTAAAATTTGAGAGAACACAACGAATAGATGCACTTGCGCTATTGCAAGCGATTTTGATCCATGTCATTCAAAGTCTCGCGGACCCCAACCAGGCGTATAAATATACGTCGACCATAATGGGGGGGAAAATACGTTTTAGGTTAACAGATGATAATGTTTAACATCATCAATGATGCTATTATCATCTGGATAAGATCGATATTTGTTTATCAATTATGTGGTATTTTATCAAGAATTTCGGTAATATAAATTTTTTTGAAATAAATCGGTACAATTGTATTTCATATTACTTTCAATGGTTGGAGACAGTCAAAATAAAACCGTGCTTCAGCCAGACTTCGTGTTAGTCAGCATTCCCCAGTAAGGTGTACCTGCAATATAACAGGAACCGATGCTTCTTGTGAGACTGAAACCTGCATCACTATGGCTAACCTTGATTGATCACTAACAGTGACTCGTACGAAAGTTAACTGCTGATTGAATTCCGCCGATTATTCTGCGATGTAGCCAATAGTCTTAATATCAAATATGTAATTCACTTACTTAGTTGATCAACTTACTTCTATTAGACTACGAGTTCAAATCCTGCTTAATTAACTTTGATCCGATAGTTAGGTGAACCCGTATCACAAAAGCATACGCAGATCTATTCAACTCACATATCTAGAAGTTTACGATCTGTAAAATTGAACTCGCTTATTAATCCTTATGAATCGATTTCCAATTCCTAATTCCTTCGATGAAAGTCGAATGTCACTGTTAGAACAAACCAAGTTGATCACTGTATACTTAATAATATCATACTGCTCAACACTGGTATAAAATCCACCTGATCATACATAGTATGTTCACTAAGCGGATGATTATTTGGTAATCACTGCAGGTGTTTTTGTTAAACCAATTTTTCATACATCATCATCGTAAATTCTGACTCCAGTTCACTAAATATTCCTATTTAAAATACAAGTTGATTAATGAAGAAATATTTCTTTTCGATTCGTTCTTCATTTGTATTTTATTCGAATGTATATGTATAGAAATTGAAATATAACCAACTTAAAAATTTTGGAAATTTTTTAGAGAAACCTAATAGTAACTTGTTATATCAGAACTTCTATAACTAATTTATCGATCTTATTGTATAATTTTTCAGTAGTTAAATTGCCATGTACATTTGTTCCTTTTTTAATATAAGCTTTCATTTGAACTTGGTAATCAGCGTTATACAATTTACCATTCCTAACTTATTCAGACTCTGTTATAAGCAGTCCCCTCTATTTACAGTCACGTTTTGGCTCATTCATGTATAGTTTTTATTTTATATTTTATGTTGTGATATGGTCTGGTCTGCTTGTAACATAAATATCATAAAGGATAGATGCTGAATGCTGAAGTCAAGAACAAAACACAGACAGACTAGAGAAATGTGAGCCTATTGGGGAATCAACTGCTGACTCACAGTTAATTGTGCCATGCAAAGGTGTAATCAGTCAAATCAAAGACTTCATATGAATAGACAGAAAATCAGAGGAAACTGAGAGATTGTACAAACTGTTTCTGTTTACCCAGGTTTGGTTTTTAATATATATCCCTATAACGCTTTCTGCATTAATAAGTCATATTTTAAAAGCATATCTCAAGTTCGTCAAGATTCTACAGATAACTTTAAAAGACGGATTTATATCGAAATAGTGAGCAGTATCAACGAAATGCACCACAATAAAACATTTTATTGTTCTGTTTTGTTCTCTGATCATCTATAAGGATTGTTCAGAAATACTACAATGAGTTTACCTGATTGTACGCTCAGCATAATTGGTTTTATAGGAACAGTTAGACTGATAAATACATAGTGGGAGTAAAACTAAATAAGTTGTCTTTATCTTGTTAATTCGTTATTAGCTGACTAAAGGAAAAAGAGTATAATCTCACTGCGTTAAATGTACATTTTACGTGGCTTTCTTATACTAGTAGTAAATTCAAAATAATGTTTTTGTTGGACTTTCAAATGATAATTATTGTTTTCTCTTCGAGATTTGAATAACTTTAATATACCTTGATGATGTAATTACTTTTTATAAAGAAAAAAATATTTTCAAATCGATATTTTTTTTAAAATCAAATAAATTGAAATATTTTAGTTATTTGTTTCTATTTTTTGTAAATGAATAGTTTTGCAATTTAACTGATTTTTTTTTTTGCCTGTAATCGAGAAAATCTTTTCTTTGTCATTTTATTATTTGACTACATGTATGACTTTTTTTTGTCTAGTGAACTACGTAATGATTTAAGAAAACGTCATCAAAGACATGTATATGAGAATCGTTTGAATATTTTGTCAAATTCAGCACCATTAGAATATATTCCATCGAAAGGATCAAAATTATGTAGTAAAGGTAATGAAAGTTTGTTTTAATATCATTCACTTTTGTGTGCACATATGTTTGTGTTATTTTTGGCATGATTTATCGCTTTCTGAATGAAAATAGTTCATGTATGCATGTATATTGATACGTACATTTGTGTGTTTGCTTGCAAGTCTCACTGGATTTAATTCTCCAGTTGATTTTTGTCTTGTTAAAGAAGAAATCGAATCAGAAAATTGAATTGCGTTTGGAATCATGCTGTGAATTATTTACAATTCGAATTGTATTCTAACATATTTTGATGAATTTACTTGATAAATATCATACAAATATTCTCAATTCGCTTGCCTAATGAGATATCGATAGAATGTTTACTGTTTATCATTGTGTATGCAGTTTCAAAGCCCATGGAATTATGAAAACAGATAATTAAACTTCTACATTTCATAATACAATTCATATTGTGAATTGTTTTAAACATTATTTGAGTACAAAATGTTTCTTCGAAATTTCAGATCAATTTTCAATAATAATCTTATATGGTATATATGTATCTACTATGTTTGAACTATTCACATTCAGATTTAGAATAAAATACAATAAGATTAACTATTTTCAATGTCAAATAATCGAAACAAATCAACAAATAATGCTAAACAACAATAATAGGAATAAATTATTGTTTGCACGTTCATTCGATATTCTTACTGTTATGATGCGTAGTGTTGACATCTAGAAGCAATAAGTTCTAACGCCTCCCAAAACTGACTACTTGGGCGAGTAGATAAAGAGCAGGAGCAAAAGTCTACTCAACTACTGACTAATATAAATAAATACTCGTCTACATATATATGTATTCTTTTTCTGAGAAAAGAAAGTCATATCCTTACAAGTGACACTGCATTTATCCTTTAGAATATTTTCTAATGGTCATCTAATGGCTTTCTCATTAGATAACTTCTGATTGATTCAGTATATCACATACTGACCCTGAACTCCAGACACGCGAAAATACCGAGTTACAACACTAACTAAAACCAGAGTGACAAATATGATGTTGATGCCGAAGATGGAACTTTAGTACGATCGAACAAGATCAGTGCCATTATCACTTCAACCCCCTTGATAATATTCCTAAATAGATACAAGAAGTTGTTATAGATTTATGGAACAGTATATTTCCCTTGGTCAAATTAATGATCATCTATTTAAAATCAATAAATTATAATACATAACTATATGTTGAGTATAAAAGTATATGTATTTTGAAACTTTGTAATTTGTCAATTCTACATATAATATTGAAATATTAAAACTTGACTGATAAAATTTGAGGATATAGACAAATACGGAACTCGTTACTATTACTGGTAAACCAATATAAATCGATCAGTTTTTGTGTCAGATCAGTCGATACCCGAATAGCACATTGGTAATATTGACTGAGGAACTTAGTAACACAGTCCGGAATCCTTGCTGTTGACTGTCAACTAGTACAAAGCCTAGATTATTGGATTCCAATAGACCTGAGATAGACGTAGAAGCACTCTGGCAATGAAAGTATCTTCGTTTATGTTCTTGATAATAGTAATAATAATAATAATAATAATAATGATTATCTTTGTTCACTTTTTGTAAAATTGTGTATATCATCCATAGTAAGTTGGTAACTCAGCTATGAAATATTTCGGCTTTTTCACTCTAACCTGCATTTAATGTGTACTCAACGTTAGATCAATAAATGTAACCTTGAAAATAAATGGTAGACACTTCGAACTGCTCTCTTCCTCTTATCTACAGAAAGCTTAACAAATAAATTTTTAAATAACTAACACAGAATAATCCTGGTTATTATTTCACAGAAAAAACAAAATGAATTATTTTATTCCAGAAGATTACATCAGAATACTAACGTAACAGTGGTTTAGTAGCATGTAAAACGTTTAAATGCCAACTTGTATACTCATCCTATTCGCTTTGATTATTAAATATCTCGATGACTCAGATATTTTCCTATCTATATATACGAACATTTTCATCTGATTAATACATTCGCACATCCACCAATTCGGTCGCTAGTGTGTCTGCCCTGTCTGCTTGTGGTCCGCTGTCCCATTTTTGTGGTGTGCTAAAATAAACGAATTCAACACTTCGCATTTGCCTTTTGATTTATAACCGTCAGGCGCTATTTGGTGACGATTGCGTAGACGGGCGAATTACGAAGCTTAAGAACACGTTGAAATTGGCCACCACATACTGATCCAGCTTTAACATAAACAATAAGGCTCAAAATCGTGTGTGTAAATGTGCGTTTGATAAATAGGTTATATTAGTGTGGTACATCTAAAAAAATTCATCATTCAACTGTTTTATGCCGACCCACATTATTCCTTCTAAAGAAAGATCATATTCCTTGTATGTTTGTGTCACATATACTACCACTGTCAAAAGAATCTAATTTCGATTAAATGTATTGAGTAAACCTTATTCACTAGTTGGCATTTAAGTGTTTGTTTAACAAAATGGTTATCGATGTCCAAAATTATTTTGATTAAATACTTTTGTTATGTCTAAACTCTCAAACAATGTAAGTTTAGGCACCAAGGTTTAAACAATAGTTCATTCATTTCAGTTAACCCACCTATTTGTTCTAAATTTCTTTGAACTGAACAATTATAAATAATAACTGTATATACTGATACAATTTTTGAAAGAGACTTAAAATTCATTACAATGCTAGATATTGTTGGGAAACTCAAACGATAGCACTACACGTGCTAGAATGTTTTTTCTTCGTGTCCGTTGTTTGATCAATACATTAGAATTCATGCGAATTGTGTATGTTCTGTTGTGTATCTAATTGTATCAACCAAAATTGATAGGGAACCTTTCTTCATTGAAATTAGATAATTGACATTGACTATTGAAAACTAGTATAGAATATGTTATACGTTAATTGCAAATTAGAAATGTATTTTAAATGGAAATGTATTGTAACATTGCACAACTAATGATTAGGATAAAGTTTATCGTATTGGATAAAAATGTTAATATTATATGATATTGTTTTTAAAATTCACAAAGATAATCAATCCTTCAATGTACTCTTGTCAACTGATCGTAAATCGCTTGTTATAAGAGACGCAAACCAGACTGTCAGAGAAATATGTAAGTTGCATCAGTTGATTTAATTTAATTAAATATTTTCCACTGTTTTGTTTAGTGTTTTTGATTAGGTTTTAATTGTACTAGAAACCTAATTAAGAGTGTAATCGATTTCACACTTACATATGTATCAAAGCCAATGATACATTTCATTGATTATAGCTTCATGTTTAAATATTGTTCGACGTGAAAAAGATAGTCATTTTCTTCAAATTATGTACTATTGTTTTGCCTAATTGTTTTTTCTGTGCTTAACACGTCATATTGTCAAGTTCTTAACATTAAATTTAATGATGCAATAAACCTAAAAAAAGAAGAAAGACGCTTATTTTTTTCTAACGGATTCACATTGACAAACATACATAAGGAACTTTGTCTGCTATAATATCATCTTTCAAACAGTGATACAGGTATGCAAAAATAATCGAATGACGAAAGGCAGTATTGAAATCAAAGATAATTTTGAAACTAAGCAACAATATCATTACTAGCATTCCTTTTTTGTACATTGGTCTGTATTATTTTGTGAATGATGAATCTTATTTCGATCAGAATAAGTTCGATATTTGAGAATCAGTTTGATACTTAGGTATTAAATTAAGTTACATTACTTATATTCTAGTCAGTAGTATTGTGGACAGTTAAGCAAAAAGGACATGGTTTTGCCTTTAAATGTATTGTCTTTTCTCACCAAACCTAGATATCAAACAATCCCTCTCATCGATACACTTAGTCTGTGAGACGGTTAAATTCGATTAATTTGTGTAGATATATATTTTTCAATAGGATTACTAATGGTTCAACTTGAAAATTAATCGTAATAATACTATATTTTATTTCTCCTACTTTTCTTTATCTAAAGGGCAACTAAACTGTATTAGTCGAGTTTCTTTGGGTGTAACTGAGAAGGTGAAAAAATATCCAGAACGCGTAAGTGTTAACCTGACAAATTACTGCTATATATTTTTATCAAGTGGGATTCTACCTGATTACCATTAAAGCTACTAGATAATTTTTCGGGCAGAACAAATAAACGCAGTATGTTGACGATCCTGAGTATATTGATCAGTGACTTTGGGGGGCTATAACCTGTTAAGAGCTAACCAGAATCCAGTATACATAAGTGAATAATTTAATATACGAAGCTAAAATATTCCAAACTATTAAAGTTGGATTTCAGTATCAACCATGCCACAATGTAAAGGGTACTTTGAGAAAAATCCCTGATCATGCTATGAATTCCATGGGGAAAAATCAACATGTAATTATCATTTTGAGTTCAGTCAACATCAAGGATAGGTGTTTCTTCTAGTTTTCCTTTCACACCATGTTGTATTCACTTTGTATGGCTACACAATAGATGTAGTCATCAATTAAACATCTTAAAAACTGGATGTGAATGAAAGCTGTACTAAGCTTCTACTAAGGTACAAACCATCTAACACCGTATTTTAAATTTCGCACGAATGTAGGCATATCATTGATAATGAAACTCAATTCTTACGAAGAATGTTAACTATGTGTAAGAACTCCTGTGATCAATTTGACACATTTTAAAATGTGTTGAATAATTTAGCCTACAATAGAAATTAGAGAGTTAATTATTATTATTATTATTATTATCATTATTATTATTATTATTATTATTATTATTATTATTATTATTATTATACACCGTATACACACCTTTAACTATGTAAAACATGATTACCATCTTTGAGAGTATCGTTCAAGCAGGAAAACAGCATTTTTGATCAATGATATTCGAGATCTGAACGCTAATCGTGCTAACCTGCAAACTGACTACATGATTGAGAAGATGAAATTGGAAGTAAAAGTCTATCATACACATAAATACTCATATTTATATACACATTCCTTTCTCCTAGTAAATGAATCCATTTCTTGACCAACGATAAGCATTCATCCCATAAGATATTTCTGACTGTCATTTTATGTTACCTGCTTGTCCTGATTGGCTATCTGCATCATAACATTATGATTTAATAAAACACCGTAGCAATTGTTTACACTTAATTCATTTCAGTATTAACTAATAATACCTTCAGTTTGTGCTTGGAAAACTCAGGCTTCTGTAGGATTGTAAGAAATAATAAATGCTTCTATAAATACAGGTTGATAAACATATACACATGACTTTTTCAATCCAACTGTATTTCAATTATGAGATCCGTCATTTCAGTCAGTTCGTTCTAAAAAAACATAGAATTCGGCATAAATGTACATCGATTCACGTTTTCATACCATTCAGGTATAATGAGATGGGATTATTACCTTAAAATTACTTGAAAATGGATTTTGGATTACTCCTAATAATATAATCATTTAGTGTATACACTTTTCAAGCTATTGTTTAGAAATTCCCAAGCATACTTTATTATAAACTTAATCTATTCGACTTCACACACTACTGGCTATTTGGACTAGAAACTAAGTGGATAACACTTTGTTCAAGTCTCAGAGTGAACATCAAGTCTGCGACGCAAGTACAACCAGCTAACGGGTCTTAAATTGGACGAAATGCACGTTGTCAGTTTCACAGCTAGCCATCATCCACCTCTGTCTGAATTCTTTCCAGTTAAATGATTTCAGATCGCTGAATAAATTATAAAATATTCCTATAAAAAGTTGACGATTGTTGTAATTCATGATAAGAACTAATCTTATACTGTTTTAACGGTTGATAAACCATTTTAGAAATAGATAGTCGATTGATAAGCAATTTAAACTAATGTTACCTCCCTGTAACATTCTACACTATCATACTTATCTGTTGATCATCTTTTTGATGTATAAAAAGAAGGATATCTCTAAAATCTTTGTTGCTATATATTTTTATAAAAACTGCTGACCGGTTCTTAGCCAATATCATCTGATCTCGCTGAATATAACATTGAAATAGTCATTTGCATTCGGTGACAATGCAAAACCATGTCAATCCTTATTACATAAACTATATGATTTTTGATTTCAGTATTTATAATGAGATTTTCACTTCTGATTGTCAAACTATGTGGCACGCCAACTTAAAATATAAACTTATTCACTAGGTTATCGTTATTCTTGTAAATATTTTGACATATCTGTGTACAATATATTATCCCTTCGATTTCATCAACAAATAATTGTCATCGGTGAAGACGCGCATAGTACACTGATGCATTTCAGAAGAACAAATAATGATTCCATCTTCTATTATCATTTTTAATTTCTTGTATTATTCTCCTTTACATCAGTTCCTTCGCAATTCGACCTCATTAGTTAAATTAGTAGTCAACCGTATGCTACTAACTTATAACAAGTAGTATTATTCTAAAAGTGTTCACGTATGTTTACCTACTTTTTTATAAAAACAATCCAACTCAGACGTTACTCTTTCAAGTGGAATTATCCGATGTACCAAATCAAGATGATGCTAATGAATCGACAAGTAACAAAACTCGTTGTTTTCGAGTCATTTTATTAGCCAGATCAGTAACTGAATATAATTATTGGTTAGACGGTTTATTTTTACTTAACAAATTAAACGTAAGTTAGTGTTTTTAAAATACTGTTACATGTAATCGAATTATATTTTGACATAAATGAAAATATTCATTCTCAAAACAATAAATCTTTGAATAACACATAATATCTGATCAATGCGAAAATGTATTTTCTTATCATTCATTCGGCTGGTATGAACTTATCAAAGTAACGGCTATCTGGACTTAGTTGTTGATATTTGGAATATAAGATAGTGAATTCTAGTGCCGTTGCGGAAATTAAAACAGATGGAGGTATGTCCGATTGAAAATGCTTAAAGAAGGTGTTGGGGATGTTAGATCCCCGAAATTCGCTTGATAATGCCGTATTTCGGTTTTCACGTTCGCCAGCAGGGGCTGATCAAATGACCTTGAGATTTCAATTCCCACCAGGAAAATCAATGGCTGTGATTGGCTGCTGTGTATTTTAGTATGCTATTTTCTTAACTGTCTCAAGGACGTTGTTATGTTGTATAAATAAACGAGAGTTGTATGCTTGATTGTACTGGATTGCTGGGTGTTTGTAGAATATACTTTCTACGCTTACCAAGACTTCTGTTTTACCGTTGGATTCAAGGTAGCCTCCCTGGAAGCTGGTAAAAGCATCGTTCGTGTTTATCGACTAAGGTAAACTCGTAATAGCATCAAGCATACTAAGTGACGAACATATCAGTGGCGACGGGGCTCACAATTCATAATGTCAATTAACCTTGAACAGTTAGAATCTTTACTGGAACGTCAAGGTAAACGATATGAACAGTTGCAGGAACGTATGTTGGAGCTGTTAAGGAAACAAATGAATTTGAACCCACGAGATTGTTCGTTTTCTGAGACTGTTCAGACTTTAAGCCAACACTTTGGAGACAACTCGTCACTATTTAATACTCGTTATCGATGTTTGAAGCTTATTATGAACGAAGATGATGATTTTCTTACGCACGTGGGCATCGTCAACCGTGAATGCGAACGCTTTCGGTTGAAGTCTTTGTCGGAAGACCAGTTCAAAGCCCTCATTCTCATCTGCAGCCTCCAGTCGAGTAAGTTCAGTGACATTAGAACAAGGCTACTAAGTCGGTTGGAGCAAGATCCAAAGCTTACGCTTAATGATATGGCTCATGAGTACCAACGTCTCACTGACCTACAACGAGACTCGACTATAGTCCAGAGTGGTAGTTCAAGCCGATCTGAAATTCATTTGGTACAGCAGCCACCTAATCATTATAAGTCTGCCCATGCTACACCCAGTTCACCCCGCTCCAATTCGGCCCAAAAACCCAAAATGAATCCACCTTCTGCTTGCTGGCACTGCGGTTCATGGCACTATGTACGGAACTGCCCATTTAGGCAGCATAGATGCAGGAAGTGTAAAGTCATCGGTCATAAAGATGGCTTTTGCCTACAGAAAAAGCCAAAGCGATCCAGAAGTGCTAAGAAGCCTCTTCCTAGATCCAGTACCAATGCATTGAGCCTAATATCTTCCTGCCAAAGTTCATCACCAGAATGCAAATAGATACTGCATCTGATGTCACTATCCTCTCACGCAAAAATTGGACCAAGTTGGGCAGCCCAAGCCTGCAGCACACAACACAAAAGCCTCGCACAGCATGTGGTAATTATCTTCGTCTGTTAGGACAATTGGAATGTAAAGTTGCTTTCCGGGATTCGTCGTTTACTGGGATTGGTTCGACCAGCTAAAATTGGCTGATGTCCCGCTAAATACCATATGCAACCTGGTATCACAACGACATGACCCAGAAGCGTATACGAAGAAGCTGATGACAGAGTTTTCAACCATTTTTGAACCTGGATTAGGTCGGTGCACTGCTATGAAAGCAACACTTCGGTTGAAACATGGGGCTAAGCCTACTTTTCGTCCAAAGAGACCTGTACCGTATGCTACATTAGCAACAGTAGATGAAGAGCTGGATCGCCTTCAACGACAAGGAGTTATTACTCCCGTTTCTTACTCCAGTTGGGCAGCACCTATAGTCGTTATCAAGAAGGCCAACGGAACGATACGTATATGTGCTGACTTCTCTACAGGTCTCAACGCAGCTCTAGAACAGCATCATTATCCTCTGCCAGTTCCAGCAGATCTGTTCACTATGCTGAATGGAGGAAAGTTCTTCGCAAAGCTTGACCTAGCTGATGCTTATTTGCAAGTGGAAGTCGATGAAGCATCTAAAGAGCTGCTTACTATCAACACTCATCGCGGTTTGTTTCAATATAACCGTCTACCTTTTGGAGTTAAGACTGCACCGTCTATCTTCCAACAACTAATGGATACAATCCTGTCATATATCCCAGGGGTTGCAGCTTATCTCGATGATATCTTGATTGTTGCGAAGACGTTAGAACAGCTACGGGAACGCACGACATTGGTACTACAACGCATCAGTGACAATGGTTTCCGGTTACGCCCAGAAAAATGCCAGTTTCTATTGCAGTCGGTAAAGTATTTGGGATTTATCTTTGATGCCGACGGTCGCAGACCGGATCCTGAAAACATCCGAGCTATCAAACTGATGCCTACTCCCACTAATGTTTCCGAATTACGATCTTTTCTCGGTTTGATCAGTTATTATTCAGCTTTTGTTCCCTCGATGCATGATATTCGCGCTCCATTGAATTGTCTACTGCAGAAGCATAGCACATGGAACTGGAATAAAGAGTGTGACGCGGCTTTTGGTAAACTCAAGTCTATAATTAGCTCGGAATTGTTATTAACACACTACGATCCATCCATGCCGATCATCGTAGCAGCAGACGCTTCAGCATATGGCCTAGGTGCTGTTATTTCACATCAGTTTCCAGACGCGTCGGAAAAAGCCGTTATGCATGCATCCCGTACACTGACCCCAGCAGAAAAGAAGTATAGCCAGATAGAGAAAGAAGCTCTTGCCCTTGTGTTTGCTGTTCGCCGTTTCCATAAGTTTCTGTACGGTCGGAGATTCACGCTCCTCACAGATCACAAGCCTCTGCAATCAATATTTGGTTCAAAGTCTGCAATTCCAGCCCATTCTGCAAATCGTCTCCAGCGATGGGCCTTGGTACTTTTGGGGTATGATTTCGAAATCCAATATCGACGCACTCTACAATTCGGTCAAGCAGACGCTTTGTCACGACTCATTAATGATCAAGTGGCGGCTGAGGAAAACATGGTGATCGCATCTCTGTCAGTAGAAGACCACGCAGAATGTGATCTGACAACCGCAGTTCGCGCATTACCGGTGTCTGCAACAGACATACAAAATGCTTCTAGAAACGACCCCATCATCAAGATGACGATGAAATATGTCACTAACGGTTGGCCGTCGAAAAAGTTTGAAGGTGACATGAAGCAACTGTATCAGCGGCGGGAGTCACTATGCATCGTGAACGATTGCCTGATGTTTGGTGAAAGAGTAGTGGTGCCAGAATCCCTTCGTGCAAAAGTGCTGAGACAGTTCCATCTTGGTCATCCTGGGATTAAACGAATGAAGTCCATAGCCAGGAGTTATGCATACTGGCCTCACATGGATCAACATGTCACAGCGTTGGTTGAAAAATGCATGAGATGTCAGCAGGCGGCAAAGATGAATGCCAAAATTCCGCCGGTTTCATGGCCCAAACCTGAGCATCCTTGGTCCAGGATACATGTCGACTTCGCTGGCCCAATAAATGGAACTATGTATTTAATTGTCGTCGACGCCTTTTCTAAATGGCCGGAAATCAGCCCCGTTATGCCGCCCACTACAACTAAGACTATACAGCTCCTAACTGAAATTTTCTTACGAAATGGCATACCAGATGTGATCGTATCCGACAATGGCTCTCAATTCACCTCTTCCCAATTCCAGAATTTCTGTCAACGGCTAGCCATTAAACACTTACGCTCGCCACCATACCACCCGCAATCGAATGGGCAGGCGGAAAGGTTGGTGGATACGTTTAAAAGAGCACTGCTGAAGTCAAAAGGGGAGGGGACACCAGCCGAAGCGTTACAAAATTTCTTGTACGTCTATCGGACAACACCAAATGAATTGTTACCGGAGCAAACGTCCCCAGCTGAAATCCTGATGGGAAGAAGATTGAAAACGATCCACAGCCTGATGCATCCGACCAATGCACCCTCATCAGTAGAGACAAAGCAGCAAAGACAATCCGCTTACGAGGTGGGATGCCCTGTGTTTGCCCGCGACTACAGAACGAACCATGGTCCTTGGGTAGAAGCGAGAGTGGTCAGAAGGGTTGGTCGAGTTATGTACGAAGTAGAGGTAGGAGGTGATAAATGGTCACGTCATCGCAATCAGATACGCAGACGGCTAGCCCCAGATCGCCCATCAAGAGCAGAAAGCCTTCCCCTTGACATCTTGCTTGATACCTTCAACCTACCGAGAGCCCCGCCACGAGAAGAAACTCAGCAGCAAGCTGTTCTTCGTTCCCGAAGGTATCCACTCAGACAGCGGCGAACAATAGTCAAGATGCAAGTCAACCACAGGAGAACACGCTACTAAAAAGGGGAGGAGTGTTGGGGATGTTAGATCCCCGAAATTCGCTTGATAATGCCGTATTTCGGTTTTCACGTTCGCCAGCAGGGGCTGATCAAATGACCTTGAGATTTCAATTCCCACCAGGAAAATCAATGGCTGTGATTGGCTGCTGTGTATTTTAGTATGCTATTTTCTTAACTGTCTCAAGGACGTTGTTATGTTGTATAAATAAACGAGAGTTGTATGCTTGATTGTACTGGATTGCTGGGTGTTTGTAGAATATACTTTCTACGCTTACCAAGACTTCTGTTTTACCGTTGGATTCAAGGTAGCCTCCCTGGAAGCTGGTAAAAGCATCGTTCGTGTTTATCGACTAAGGTAAACTCGTAATAGCATCAAGCATACTAAGTGACGAACATATCAGAAGGCGAAACCTGCTTCGTGGGTTCCGCTGCTACCTGTTCTACAACACAAGTAGTCCTTAGGCAACTACCGGAAATCGGGAGCAGTTGGTCAATCAGTGATGTTAACGATTTAATTTGACCACCTCAACAAAATTGTAACATTATTAGTTATGCCTCTATTCTGCAAACATCTCTTTCCATATCATAAATTGACACCAATATCAGGCTATATTCTAGGGACTTCCGGAATATCCTAGTTAGATATAACATATGTCAACAAAATAACCTCCAAATTAAGTCTTATGTTTTTTGTTCAGCGTTCGGGGGTACCAGATCTCGAAGGTCAGTGAAGCGGTTAGGGAATCGGTATGTAAGCGTTCACCTACAATACGTGTCCTCTTCCGCTAATGAGTTGCAAACTATATGAAATGAGACTTTTGATTCTACTTATGTCTGGTAGCACGCTGATATTAGCACAATGATTATATATATATCCATTCTTTTCATGCCATCAAGAATGAGAAAAATGAATGGAAGAAATGTTTCTTTTAGTTACTATTCTTTCTCATTGCTTTTATTTTACTCTGTAGAATCCAAGTGATTATTACAATGAAGATGTGGAACGTTTAACCGAATTAGACATGTGTATACGTCTTTCAAGTTTAGATTTAAATCAACTGCCTAAAAGAGAGATTTCCTTACCCACAGATCCTCCACCTTTGGATTTTATTTAATTTTGTTGCCTTATTTTTTAATATTCCTAATATTTATTCATCTTGATTTGAATACATAGATTATATGCCCTTCATTTGTTTCGTCGTTGAATAGTGGACTCGTAAAATACGTGTAAATTGATTATTTAGAAATTAGGAACTGTGTACAAACTTATCTAACTTTATTTTTTACTCATTTGCAATAAGACAAATTCAATTATGTACTTATAATTTCTACCATTTTCCTAATATGTTTTCTGGAAACCTGGTGAGGATCTTTCTGTCTACTCACTTTATTATAATTCTTCAAATTTATCATCAATATTTTACTCAGTATTATTTCTGATACTTATTTACTTTTTAGTTATGAATCATGAGTAGAATGATGTAAGCGGATTACTGAAATCTCATAATTCTAACCTTCTCATCAACGTCACTCTGTACTCTGAATAGTATCACATGACTAATCACCCCTATTTCTCCTAGATCTTCATATTGTTATCATCAATCGGTGTTTAGGCTCCGCCGACATTTGATATTTCGGAGTGACTTTTATCAAGAATTAATAATCTGCTATTTTCTTCACTATTTTTTTTCTGCATGTACATGCAAAATGAAATAAATAGACAGCCAAATATTAATTGATTGCTCTACTCTAGAAATAAATGCACTTCTTTGTGTGAAATCAAAATTTACGTTTTTTCCCAACCAAGAGAAATCACTTACCTTTAGCAACTAATAAACTATATCGATTAGTTAATTGAATCAGTTAACTAAAGAAATATTATCTATCATATGTCGACAGACTCAATACTCCAATAACTTGTGACATCAATTATAAGTTAGTCCCAGATAATCATCTTCATTTAGCTAAGAGCTAAATTGTTCTCGTGTTGTTTCTTTAGCAATGTTATTACAAAACCAATCACTCTGTTTGTTGAGTTTGGATTTACTCAGGTTCGCAAATAATTATTTTAAGCGGATAAAAATTACGAAGAAATTTGCATAGTATGTACCAGTTTTCTCAATGAATTAATTAATGTCAGTCATATCTGACTTTGGATGCATATATTGATCGATCTTCAGTTATAATCATGTTGTTATTATTGAATGCTATGTCTTTGACGTAACAATACATTTCCACTACAAATGTTTCGGATTCTATATTGAGATCAGTTGAGTATTAGGTCATAGAGAAGTCAGCAAAATATAAATACTACCATAAAAGGAAACTGCTCAGAAAACCGGATTCATTAATAACAACAATTTCAAGAAATTTAAATCCACTTCCATATACGTATGATATTGGTCACAACAAGATTCGAAAACAATCAGTTCTTATAAAAGTGTATTTCAAAATCACAATGACAATTAACTAAGCACTCTTTTTTATATAAATAACTCAAAAAGATATTTAGAAAAGTAAAATACTATTTACACTTTATTGGCTGAATGTTATCTGAAATGATAAAAGGTTTTCAAACTTTACTGCGATTAGTTTTTAGTAGCAACGTAAGTCTATGTTGTTGACGGCATTCTGACTGCATATCTCGACTTCCAGTTGTATCTTTATTACAAGACTTATTCAAGAAATGCGAGTGTAACTAACCACAGAAGAAATTAATTTCAACTGGTGTTCCAGTTAGTTAGCAGATAAACATACATTATTAAGCTTAACATACTGAGTTCTTCAAAAATTAGTTTAACTCCACTAACTTATTACTCGTGATAAAATTTATGGATGACTAATACAAACATTTTGTTTTCAAATATGACATTTACTATCAGACTTAGGCCAAATAATAAGTGCATCCTTTTGGTGAGATTTAGCTTCACTTCTAAGGGAAACAGAAACGAACTGATGGTTGTATATATGACTTCCTTTACTAAGAGAAGACGTTGTATGTTGATGAATCAGTGTATACATGTTTTCGATTTTATTTTAGTCAACAAATCTTCCTCACTCAAGTAGCTGGTTTCTGTCGACTTTCAGGAAGCCTTTACATCAATAGCACACTTGGATTACTGCACACCATAACATTAGCAACGTTAATATTCTAATGAATTTTGGATAGATAGAACTGACTGAGATTAAATAAACGTGCTTGTGTAGTATCTAACACTAGGCCACACTTATATGCGTTATTCTAGCTTTCCGACCGACCAGTTCATTTACTTTTGTCAAGGCATTATTCAAACAAGCTTCGACTTTGTCAATTACTCACTGATAACCTTGTCTGTTCTTGATCACCATGTATATGTGTATCACCAACTCTTCTTATCACATGTCTAGTTTATTTTTATCTGGCTGTGAATAGTGAGATACGCTCTATCAAATGAAGTTAGCTGCCCCATTATGTTTCGCTTTCCTGCTTCTTATCTTAATTTTTGTCTTGGTAAATGAGTGCTTGGAATAGGTCTATCCAACTTAGCCTGTATTTAGCATGTTATTGATACTGTCACTTAGAGTTAGTCAAGGTGTAATGTACCGAGTTAAGTGGAAGATGGTTCTTCTATCGTTCACTCAAACGATACCAAGAGCCCGGGTAACCAAAATTCTATTCAGGACATACAGGGCCTAGACTCGATATTCGAATAAACCATGTAACAATAACTTGTGTTGACTGTAATTTGCATACAATACGTGAAAAGAATCAACATTATCCTGCGGGATATCATAAATATTGTTTTCTCCTGTTTAACCACTTGTTATGAAAGTAACAAGCTTTGTGTGCGTTGATTACATGTTGACATCCAAATAAGCTTTCTTCCAGTCAGTTATATGCAATGTTAACTTGACTTCTAACTGTAATTTTGATAAAACATAATCCATCTTGAGCGTTTTTATCATCTGATACCCTTACGAAATCAAAGTTCATTGAATGTATTATATCTACCAAATAAATAAAATACGGTTGTGAGACGAGACGATTCTCCTCTACATGATAGTGAATTGGGTAAAAAAATATTTCGTCTACCAGTCAGAATCTTTAATCACTGAATCAAAGTCCTCATTGGTTTACGAGTTCGAGTCCTCAATACCTTTGTTCATTCAGATCTACACAATTCATATTATGAAATTTGAGAAGATTATTCCCTTGCTTTAAGTTCTAATGAGCGACAAACATACAAATCCAGGAACTTGACACTAACATTGAAGTTTATTTAATTTAGAAGGATACCTTTCAAAAGGCAGCCGTCATGTTGACAAATTTTCCAATTAAGAACACTATATAAACATTGAACTCTGTGTAACGTTCATGTCAATTCCGATCAGCAGCCAAAGAAGAAGGTAAAGTTATTCTTCCGTTGTATCAACGTGTGGAAATTTAGTAAATATAGATTCGTAGTTATTAATGTTGTTGTTGTTGTTGTAACATGCTTTCTTTACGCCTGTGTGTAAAAGTGTCTGAAAACCCCTCCGTGTTGCCCTTTGTGATGATAACTGGTAGTTTTTCATGCAAATGCAAAGTTGGCCTTTTTGATCTCTTTATTTGTATGCTTGCGGTATTTTCTAAATCACATGAAATTAAAGTCATTTATTCTTCTTCAATTTCCTTAAATCTTTACTACTAAGTAGTTTCTCACTGACTTTTTGAAGTTTTTCTTTGAAGACGTTACGGATATTCAGTAGTTAACAACTCTGTTTAAAGATTTGCTTGGCAGATGGACAGTGTATTGAGAGTTATGTGATCTGAGGTAGTTACTTTTTGCGAGGGATAAGTCATATGGCGTACTGAATGGTAATCTGGAGAGGATGCATGACTGAGGGTGTGTTCAGCAAAACTAGTGAGGTCAGTATCAATGCGAAAGACTTAAAGAACCAGATGTTTTCGGGGAATTTATTCACCCCTGAATTTTATTCTCTCACAACCTTCGTGGCCATCATTTTTGCGCTATTGGTTTAATAACCAACGTCAACAGAGTGTGTAGTAGCTCCAATCGAGGTTGACTAAGAACACCATTACAGACCAATACGTTTCCACCACCAATCGTCATACCGTCGTAGACTGAAAACACAGAAGAAGATATAGTCCAGAAGAAACCTTATATTCGCTGGCGATCTCGTGGTACCGAAAGAATATCAAGATCGTGCCTAAAAATATGGGCGAAGCTACAACAAGCAGCATAACCAAGATGGTGATGAAACATACGCAAAGTGTTTGTACAGAGTACGAATACACAAGGTGTCATTAACACAATCACTGGTACAATGGGTTATAATAAAAAATGTTTCTGTTCAACCCAATCGCATGATCTTCGTGAATTGGAGCCACTACTAGTGAAATCGCTTTTCTTTATTTGTTGTGGACGTGTATTGATATTTAAAAGTTTTATTTCTCATCCCAGTGAATTAATAATTGGTTGATCACCTTTAGAGCTTAGTAAACTGGTCTGTAATCATTTTGGATACACGTCGACTGCACAAACCTGGTTAATAACTCTTTAGGACAGCTTAATCACTGAGTTACCATGCCTAACTGTCGTATCACATAGAAGCTTGATTCAGAGTTCTGTAAGTTCAGGACCTCCGAATTATTAAGGACAACAGCTCCGTCTTCTCGTAATCAATATTAGGTTAACAGATTCCTTAGGACGAGGGTCTTACTCTAAAAGATAAAAAGATGAAGCAGAACTACTGTAACGGAAAGCACTATTATTTTAAATTTTCCAGCACAACTTTAGAGTACTCCTTAATTTTGCGTAACGATGGTGAGCAACTGTAGAATCTTTTTTGAACGTTTGTTTTTTGGAAAATCCCTCCATGTTTACATATTTATGTTATGACATGACGGACTTTTTCTGTTGGCATTTTGGTAATTTATTTGATTCCAATTTGAGATTTTATCATTGTATATTGTTATTATTTCTATATTTTTTACTTATATTGAAGTTCTTATGTTTGCTTCTGAACTGTATATATGTTGTTTAAATTTGATCTTTAATATGGCTACAGCCATATTTGGATTGATACTGTGGCGGTTGGATTTAACATCACTTAGTCCCTTCTAATCTCGGAT